GGTGAATCATGATATGAATGGGAGCCTTTTGTAGGGTCCACATCCACAACTTGATCAAGCAGCGCATTGTGAACTGATGGCGGTGAAGTACCAGTCGCCATTGTCAGGGGAATGACCAGGGAAAGCGAACCTTGAAATAACAGTAGCAGAAGAAGCAGAAGATATAGTACAACAATAGAGTACCGGACGGCCATAAGAACTAGATGAAATGGTAGAAAATGACGATTAGGAACAAGAACTGCGAGGTTTCTTCCCTAGTGTTTCATTGTGTACTCAACAGACGCACTAGACAGGTGATCCGAGAAGAAATGATTCCAGCATCCGGCCTGTATTCACCACACCCTGGCAGGGGTATTAATACACCCCTGGCCACTGTAGAAGGGTATGTATCCATACTCACCAGCTATTTACAACGCCTCCCTGTATGCATACACACCTTGGGAGCCTTTCCTTGTATGCATACACACCTTGGGAGCTATAGTGTGCTTCTTCGGACAGTTCTAATAGGTTATATTGACCAAATAAGTAGTATAACAATGATAGTAATCTTAGATCCCTTCCCCGCACTGCTATTTTATGTGCCAACCCCGGACCATCAAATTCACTAGGTGCCTTCTGAATCCCTCCTTCTATGATTTGAATCAAATCAGTTCGAAGTTCGAACCACTGCATACTCCCGCTCGCGACATATCCCAAATAGGCATAATAAAGAGAGAGATGGCAAAAATATCATAGCGGGTGTAGGCGTGCGGTTAGTGTGGTCACTCGTCTGTAATCACAATGAAAGACGATGTATTGCACGTAGTAGTCTAGTAACAAGGGATGCATGGCAGGATGAAATGCAGGAAAATGAGAAAAAAGCGCCAAAAAACAAACAAATAGCCTCCGGTTTGCTATGCAGTAGTCGTGGCGGGTACAGGTGCTCGTTCTGTAGTGGTTTGAACAGAGAGAAGGCTGGGAACCACATCCCACAGGAAAAGACAGTCGTTCCGCATGGACCGGCGGATCTTAGCCTGTCGCAAGGCATATGCAACTGCTCCCTCGTGCTCCATTGCTCCATCATATATTCTGGAGGTTGCGCGTTCTTCCCACCAACCTGCATTCCACTCAAAGCTAATACACGTCGCATCTCCTCCTGCACAAGTTCGACCTCCTCTGCCCACCTGTTGGCACGAGCTCGTGCCTTGCACCACTCAACGCGCATTGCTGTTTCCGATTAGAAAAAACTACATCAAATACATAGCGACTCTCACCTTCAGAAAGTTCTTCCTCACCCGCTCCATGGCGCTGCTTCCAAATCCAAGACACGGCTACGAATCTTCGACCTTCTGACACCAAACCTCCCGCCTGCGCCTCAGTCATACCACGAATATGCTCATCTTCGAGCTTTGGGAATTCAATTTCCCAATCAAGGCGTAGGAGTGCATCGGCTAAGTCATCAAGTGCCCTCCATGCCGTGCGATACTTTGTTGCGGCAGCGTCTATTTTCGCCTGGACAGTATCAATGACGGCACGGGATCTCGTGTGCGCTCGTTGGCCAGTTAACCAGTTCTTCTTGAACCCAGTGAGATGGCGTTTGAGTCGTAGGTGTTGCCGGAGCTCCTGGAGACCATCATGCGCCTGGGCACAGCGTAACTTCCACTCGATGTTACACAGATTCACATCGCAAGACATGCCCGCTTTCACCACTGCAGACGGCATCCACAGTTTGATGGTGTGAACAGGCTCCTCAAGGGTGGTATCCTCAGTATCAGAGGTGTACGCTCGAAGTCTGGCAACACTGGGGATATATAGCATTTGGATTTGGATCCACTGTTCAATCCGACGGCGCAGTGCATTGATGCGTTGTTGCATAGCAGACAGTTGATTATCGGTGGCGTGGATTCCAATGTTCGCAGTGTCCGTTGCGAGCCGACGTCTGAGAGGTAAAGCAACTTGTTAAGACCAGCTTGTTGTCAGTGCGAAAGACAGACATACTGTAAAGCCTCTAGGTCGATCCCAACAGCTATTAATACGCTAGGGGAGACATCTGGGTGGAGGGAGGCATCAATCCCTTGTCTTAGCTGCTGGGCTTCAAGCTGAGAGAGCTCGAGTCTGACAGACGCCTGGGTGACAACTGTAGTGTACATGTCAAAGATTGCAAATATCATACAAGCGAAAACATACCTGACACTTTAATCTCGAACGGGTTCGGCTTTGAACGATCACCCTCCCAATCTTCTACCAACTTCCGCCAGGCACTAAGACTCGAAGACGGGATAGCTTCCTCGAAGTCCCGAAGATCTACAGCATGCTGATAACATTCTGGAATTGCCTCCTTGAGTTTTTTGAGCAGTGAAGGACCTATTAAACTGTCAGAGACGAAGGCACAATCTATGTGTAATACATACCCAAGTTGACACTTTACGCCAATTCCAGTCCGCCAAGTGGTCATCCAAGATGTCGCGTCTTGACCCTGGACCCATTTCACACGCGTGCTGGTAGCGATAGGATTCATGTTTGACCATCCGCGTTCAATGGCTTCACCGTCAGTCCGCGCCATGCCTTTGATAAGGTTAGAGAATACGAAGTTTGACATGCTGCAATATGCGCCGGCAGATGAAATTTGGGAATGAGGAATGTTAAAATTTTCGAGTCGCCCGAAAAATGGATCTGGGACGGATAGCGTGACATCCGCTCCCACAAATGCTTACTCCATTGACATGCAATATCATATGAGATATTGAGAACGAGAACCTCGCCAGAGTGTTGCAAAGTCGAGAAGAACAGGAAATCCATATTCACATATCTAAGTCCGTGTGATTAGATGACGTCAAAGATATCAGAGACGCGTACCTTTCTCCTTTTTGGAGATCTCCAACTGAGGACGGACGTGTGAGGTTATGACGAGCACAAACGATGGCGCCGACGCCTGTGGCAGCCAGTCCCCGTGAATTCTTGGTGTCGGCAAGATTAACGGCGTTGTGACTGGCACAAGAACTTTTCTAAACACGATATCAGCGAATGATACACTAAACCATATATCAACCTCACCTCTTGTACCTGGCTGGCATAAGCAAGAACATCTTTGAATCCACTTTGTTCTACGAAATAAGCCCAGCCTTGGCTAAGGCTAGGGTCTGCCTGCTCAGAGGACTTATTGCGGCGGCATAAGCGAAAGTTAGCGTCCATTGCCAGAAATAAAGCATAAAGCCATCTACATTTCTTGAGCATAAATATCCCAATGAAAAAAGCAAAACTTACTTGTGTTGTGGCCTCAATGTCTCCCCAACCCAAAGGCAAGTTTTTGCCAGGTTGCGGACAAGCCGGGCACAGTACGGCGAGTTCTCCTTCCGTTGTGCCGAGAGCGCCACCAGGTTCATGGCCACGCCCGGCACGTTTAAGAGATAGTATATGTCGAAATTGCCGACTCTATCCGTAGGAAAGCTTCATAACGGTCCTTATACTCACGTTAGCTGTGAAAAAATGATTCAATAGTCAATGCGCCTACCTTAGTCTGGTACCTCCTAGTATTATCCGTTAGACGTGCCAATGCTTGGTAATTATTCAAACGCGGATCCTTTCGACTCAAAAGTGTATCATTTGGAAGTGATCAAGGACCCGGAATGTTGCAGCAGTTCGGGGATCTGTGACGGTTGCTGGGTACCAGTGAGTGCGCAGGAGTTGGGTAGTGTGTGTTTGCGCTGTCTCGCAGTTTGCAGAAATCTAGCATGATACTGTGGACACCGGTGATGTCAAGGACGACGAAGTCGTCCTGGAAAGCAGGAGAGGGATTGCAGCAACGGACACCAGTTGGATGTCCGAGTTGGACACGTAGCCCTAAGTCTCTTAAGTTGCTGCGCTGGAAGTATTTCCCAGTCCAAATCTGATAGTATAGTCAATTTTAAAGAACGCAAAGCAATGTGAATACATACTTCAACACGGTGCAAAGGCGCTGCGCGGTGCAGTGAGATGACACAAGACTGACAGTACAACTGTAATCCTTCACAATCAGTACACCGAATAGACGGCTGGTTTACGCATGTCTGCTCCCCATGACAATGCATGTGCCATGCATCATCTCCATGCCCTTCTAGCCGAATGAATTCCTTGAGAAAATTATCACGCTCCTGCAGCCATTGTTTTTGAGGGTCATCCTGAATATCACCGAATGAAAAAAATTGCAATCAAGATATAGAAATAGCACACACCACCGGTGCGCGTGGCCGTTTGGCTTTCACTGGTGTGGTATCTGTGCTGGTGTCGGCAAGATAATCGAGGTATGGTTGATCATCATTGAAATAAGAAGCGAAATCAAAAGTCTCGGAACTCCCAAGGTTTGTGATCGAGGAACTAGTGGGTACAGCCGGAGACGTGTTGGCATTTTGAAAGTATGTAGTTTTGATGGTGGGACGGCTCCTGATCATAACGTCTACAGAGGTATGTGCATGATATGCACTTCCCTCGGGAACATGCAATTGAGTTTCTTCATTGCGTCGTCGCTTGTGTGCAGCTTGATTCTCCTCCATGAACTGCCGCTGATACTTGTCCAACTTTCATACCCGAGAGTTTTTGACCATGGCAATGAAAATAATGTGGGCACATGCTATACGATGTACGTACTGCATTTCAACATTGTTTATCTGGTCACGTGACACTACTTTTCTATATGCTGCCATACTAGTCCATCGCTAAGCAGTGCGGCATCAAGAGCTCCCTCGTCTTCATCCATGAGGGACACGATCTCCTCTTCGGCGGCAAGGTAGAGACGTGCTGTAGAAATAAGACAGGAACATTCAGTTTGGAGATGTGGAGTACATGGACCATCTAAACTTTTGACCGCTGTGACCAGGTCTTCCGCGTCCTTCAGTAAAACCCGGGCCTCTGATATTCCTTCCAAAACAGCTGGTCTAACAGCACTCCACCCTCGCACATCTACTTCTTGAAGAACAGCGATAACTCGAGGCTGGCACCCATTGTGGTTCCGGCTACCACCGGTATAAGTCCTGCTCCATATTTCTTCCATTGCCTCATAGGCGTCTAGTGTGGCCTGCACAAATTAGTACTGAATGTCAGTAGATGTAGTATTTGAATATACCTTATTGGCTCCCTTTGCCTGCCTTGATCTCTGTCGTGCTTTGGATCGTTCATACCCGACATGTCTAATATCATGTCAAATCCCTATGTCCACTTCTGGTTCAGAATGCGAGAAACACTTACCGCAAATAATGTATTTTCTTAGACTGTTTGCGCGCTTCTTGGCGGTCCGGTGAAGACTTACGACGGTGTCCCATCAAACGAGACAGATGAGTGGTATGATACAAAGAGCCCTTAGTAAGGGTACGTTAACAGACATAAACACTTACTGGTATATAGACTTTTGGTACGGTCACAGCCACCACTTCGGGACAGTTATCACACAATGTACTCTAGACCATGCCGTTTGAGCATGAATCATCGTTACCGTCAAATATAAAAATAAACGACAGCAATACACTTACTGGTATATAGACTTTACGGTATGGTCACAGCCGCCAATTATCATACAATGTACTCTAGACCACGCTGTTGAGCATGAATAGGTTATCGTCGAATATAAATATCACACACACACACACACATGACAGCAATTGGTATCATCATATTGGATGCAAGAAACGGGACAGGCCACACATAAATGTACAGTACAGTATTTTACTCCTAGAGCGGCACCTGATTGACTGCGCCATCATCCAAAGCCTGTCCATAGGCAGCCTGGGCGACAGCTAGAGAGGAGTAACGCGCAAAACAAGCTCCTGGAACACCGACGACATGCACATGCACATTGTGCCTGGGAGAAAATTGAATAAAATAATAGACCAGCAGATCTCGGAGTACGTACCATCCTTGAAAGACCCCAGTTTCACGTCCAACAGTAATGACATACCAGCGCACCGATGCAGAGGTGCTTGAGTGTTGAGTAGTGTGGACAGCAGTGTTGACGAGGGTGGGAGCAGCTGCACGAATGGTGGGAGCAGCAGCGGCGTTGACGACAACAGGTGCTGCATTGATGGTGGGAGCAGCGACAGTGTTGACGACAACGGGTGCTGCATTGATGGTGGGAGCAGCGACAGTGTTGCCGACGAGGGCAGGAGCAGCGTCAATGCTGTCAGTTGTCGATGTGTCACTCTGTGACTCACCACCCTCGTCATTTGTGTGGGTACTCTGTGACTCACCACCCTCGTCATCTGCCGTGGGTTGTAAGGTTGAACGTTGAGTACGGAAATATTAAATGCTCACCAATTGTACCACAAACATAGCACGAGTGCTTGTGTGCACGAAAAACACATGCAGGGCAGTGGCCAAGCACAAGGTCATCCGTAAATTCGGGTAGACTGTGGTTAGCGTGCGCCTCTATTATGGCTAGAATAACCATTCAGCCCAGTGAGAATTAGCCAGAGGCTCACACTCACCACGCTGGTCCCGCACAAGCTCTATGGCGCTTGCTAGTTCGGATAAAGTGAAAGTTTGTTCCTTGACGAGGCTGGGAAAACTTTCATTTTGGACAAACGAGGTCAAACGGGGGTATCAGACAAACGAGGTCAAGCGGGGGTAATAGCAGTGATGTGATGTGAGATTGTTGAAATTCCAGCCACTTATAATAGCTTTTGTCGGGTAACTCCGTGCAATCAGCCCTTCTCATTGGATAATGCAAAAATAAGATTCAAAGTCCGTCCCAAATGGAGTATCAGTACACGCCTGCAACACCAGCGCGGAGACTCATCTAAAAAAAACATAAGGTATGTGACATAGGTGATGAAATTCATTTTAGCCTAATGCCGCCGGTTCGTAGATGCCTGGTGTATCATGGATGACACGCGAACAGTCGGCTTGGCTGAAAACTAAGGTGGATGCATTCCGCCTCAGCCAGCTGCAGGGCGAAACAACTGTCTTCTTTGCGAATACATCCCGTGAATGGTTCGAGAACTGGCCTGAAGCTGCTGTGCATTTCAAAGACAGCGAGACTGGTGTTCCACTTACCAAATCCCAGTTATCAGAAGAGCAGACAGTTGAATTAGGATTACATCTCCAAAAATGTCGTTCCGTAAGTTGGCCACACACCTGTTGTATTACGGTTGCTTATACGTGTTACAGAAACTCCGTTCTTACTTCTACCGCAGCAACTCCGCCGCTGCGCAAGGACGAGTGACACAATTCACTAAAACGATTACGAAGCTCATGGGCTCCACCACTGCTCGCACTCGTGGGCCGTCTGCTGTGGAATATTTTATTCAAACCGAGTACAAGGACAACAACGCCATCAAGGATGAGATCTCATCTAAGATAGCATCATGCACTCAACAAAATCGCATGGCCTTGCTTCGTACAGAAGCAACGAAGGCCATGACTGCGCGGGGACAAGAATATGTGCTGAAGATGGAGCGGGAGGCGAAAGCTGAATGTGAGCTACGTGTGCAGAAGGCCAAGGCTGAGATGGAGGCACTGTCTAATCCCAGTGACTCTGCAAAGTTGCAGTGCGTACATGTCTCTGAACATGTTGCAGCAATACTAACATTCCCACAGATGCATTGAAGGGCTGGGTGGATTGATCGGACAACTTCTACAGTCCATCCACGACACGACAGGTTGGAACGGGAGCGTGTACATTGGGGGACCAGACCCTCGTGTAGGTGGGGATCTTCGCGTTTACAGGTTAGTGTTTGTTTTTGTGCTCGGTTACCTTGATTTCATGTTGCTCTATAGTTTCCACCATGGGAAGGGTACTACCGGCCTCAACTTTCGTGATACACTGCCTGACCATCACACACGAATCATCGAACCATTCACTACTTTTTTGAAGGGCGCTTTTGGTAAGTCGGTGTGGTCTTCTGGTTAGGTAATGCTGATGGTGTTTCTGTGTTTCTCCACAGCTGCTTCTGTCCAGGAGCGCATCCCAGACTCGTCTCCCTCGAGTATGGATACTATTGTGCCCCTTATGGACACCTCCGTCCCATACTCGTCTCCGTCAAGTATGGATACTATTGTGCCGTCTCCGTCAAGTATGGATACTATTGTGCCGTCTCCATCGAGTATTGATACTATCGTGCCCCTTATGGACACCACCGACTTCCTCGCTGCTCCGACTGCAACTCAAGAAGTGCCGCATGCCTCGGCCGATCAATTCTTCCCCATTAACCCCCCCATTAACCCTTTCTCATTTCATCCTATTGACGATTCACTCGATATGTCGGGCGAGTTCTCATTCGATCCCATTCCCGACGATTCACTCAATCTCATTCCCGGCAATTCTTTTGATCTGTCAAACGAGGCCCTTGACAACTTCCTGGCGGATTCACAATCATACCTACTCCAATCTACTGCAGATGGGACCGAGGGTCCCCAACTTATCTTACCTCCATTTCCGTATGCTGACAATTCACAACCATCTCAGTCTATACTTTCACCCCCGCGCTTCCGCAGTGCTTTAGCTCGTATCAAGTCGAAGAGCCCCTCTGGTAACTATAAGAAGGTACCTCGGCCCCGTCCATTCAGAGGAGGAACTGGACCTTCCCATGGTCTATATCGTGATTCCCCTCCCCCTTCTGTGCCTCCTGCGGCGCCAGCGACTCACCATCATGATTCCCCTCCCCCAGTGCCGGCGACTCACCATCGTGATTCCCCTTCTGTGCCTCCTGCGGCACCAGCGACTCACCCAAGTTCATTACCGCCTGCTGAGACTCCTCCGCGGGCCACCACAGCTGCACCAAGTAGCCAGCTACCTGCTGACAACGAGCCCATGGAGAATTTGCAGCCTCTAGATGATATCGTCAATAACCAAGTGCGCCGTAGCAGCCGAGTTCATGTTCCATCCACTCGCACAACAGAAGCTAATAATATTGGTGCTGACGGTATGGGAAGAAAGCCACGAAAGTAAGTTTAACAATTTTTTTCACTTCCGCTTTGAACTTTAGTTCTAGGTCACACAAATTGGTTCACTGAGGATGTTGTGTTCTTGCCATCATGTTTGCTGTATATCGTATATTGTTCTTGTCATATTACATGTATTCGCCGTCTTTACTCAAAATACACTATTTTTTGACACAATGATCTTCGTCGAACACAGGAAAATTGAGTGTCTCGTTAGGAAACCCCAATCATGTCTCATGTCAATTTTTTCAATACCATGTAGTCAACATTTCAGCATCGTGTCACAAGCTTAGGTACCGCAGTAAACAGTTTATATGTCTCATACTTATTATGCAGGGACTTAGTCGAAATTCATCGTGAACTCGTCACGTGGCTTGCAGGGACTTAGTCAAAATTCATCGTGAACTTGTGACGTGGCTTGCAGGGACTTAGTCAAATTCATCGTGAACTTGTCACGTGGCTTGAAGGGACGGTCAAAAATTCATCACGAAGTTGTCACGTGGCTCTGAGGGGCTGGGCCAGGATCTGTCAGGAACAAGTTGGCAAGAACCGGTAAGAACGGAAGGGTCCGGAAGGGTGCGAGATTTAAGGGGGTGGAGATTATAGGCTGGAACTGATGTATTAATATAGCCAGCAAGAACCAAGAAGGAGGGGTGACATATTTATAGGTGGAGAAGCAGTACGAATTGAGGGAAACTGATGCAGACAACCTATTTTTAGTCGAGGGATTAATATAGCCAGCAAGAATAGATGGGAGTACCCAAATTGGGAATGAGGATCAGCCAGAGAAGTTCAACATTGTGTCCGAGTGCTAGTATCAATACAAAGAAGCCTGTATGCATACTTTGCTGGGACTGAGAGTCCTAGGCCAGTATGCATACATAGTCTTCTACAGTGCCCAGACTTGTATTAATCAATCTTACACTATGGCCTCTCATTATCCCTTGCATATATATTGTTGCACGCATTATACTCATTGTACTCATGATGCTGAGCTTACGATCGCTGCCTCTTGGCGTGTACGACACAGTAGCTTGGACCACATTTATTCCACATTTCAATATGTAGTCTCGTTACATCGTTGTAGCAAAATACAAGTTTTTCTAGAATCACTGTCAGAATCAGAGGTACGGGTACGGATGACTTCGAACATAGCAGGTCGCCATTCTGCTCACATACCAAGCAGGCAACGTTTGATGAACTAATGAAAGGCTGTGATATGAGTATCAGGCAGCAACAAATGGTAGGCCGCTATGTAGACACGCTATGCGTGCGCATGCAGTCCAGGATTTATATCATGAAAAAAGAGTGGTACTAGTATCGTGTAGGAAACATACCGGGCACAATAATGATGTACCTACATGTAGAAAAGTCCGTCAGAACGGCAGCCGGAAAAAAGAACCAGAACCTCACGCGCAGAAGAAAGAATATTGTCCACCAAGGACAAGTGAGCTTGCAAACCTGTCATTAACGCTATCGACGAGGTATTATTTCACGTAAATTGAAGGACACTGGTCATGCTCATTAACGCGGTGGATGCAGCAGTGGTCACCGGTTAAAATCTACCCAGGTCATCCCTGCACAATAGCACATTTGATACAGTTAGTGGGGGAAATGCAACGACTCACTGGGAGACGGGAATGTTGAGCGGTATTTCCAGGCTTGTGCCAGTGCTTCAAAAATGTGACTAGAGTCTGATTCAAACATTAAACACTCTAAAGCTGAAATCCTAGTGGGTGTGGTTGTTGTCAGGGTCCCCCAGTTTCGTAAAGGATGGAGTGCGCTGTCAGAATTATCAGAATGACAACACCAAGTCACAGCAGCGATCGTAGTCGTATCGTAACCTAAGTAGTCGGTAAAATCGCTTCTTGGACCAATACCAAGTGGCACCCCCGAGAAGGACCCCGGAACACCTCCAACCCAGCATCGCGCCCCACGGCGTCGACGCTACCCAAGCCTTCTCTCCTGCATACTGCCTATAGAATAGAATCATAATATCAATAGACTAAATCCACAAAAACAAAACAAAAACAAAAAGACCATAAAAACAGTATGCCGATACAAAACGGTACACAAGAACCAGGAAAATTTTTCCTGGTTCTTGTGTATTCCTGGAAAAAGAACATCCTCGAGACTAGCTATGAATGAAGTGATGCAGGGCTACAAGGGAGAGGTTAAAGACCTAGTGAGTGCCAAAAGCTTCATGGATAGAACGGCCCTAGCCATCAGCGGCAAGCCGTATTCGGCTGAAAACCTGTCAGATATACTCTTCCACGTTGCTCAACTAGCGGGAATATCCAACCAGGCCCAAGCAGCTATCAAAGCAGTAGCATACATATTCGAAGAGATGGCAACGATAGAAATGGCAAAAGCAATAGCCAACAATGTCATATCAGCAATATCGCCCCATATCGCAAAGATCCTCGAAACCTCCGAAAATTTAGCCGCCTCAGTAACACAACTCAAAGACATACAAATCAAACTAGATGAAACCGCCAAAACAACCAAAGAATCAGAAAACAACACCATCGAAGTGACATCCATCGATAGCAGACTAGAAAAGATGCAGGACACTGTAGTAACACTCACCACTCAAATCAAGGACTCGACACAGAAAGGAGGATACAAAGCGGCACTCCTATCAGGAATCGAAAACGGCGACACAAACCTCCAACTCACCAGAATAGCAGCAAGAGATGCGATCAAGGCACGTTAAATCCTCATCAACGCTACTCAAGATGGTCCAATCGCTCCAGACAAGACATCACATGCGCAACTGGTAGAAAAGATCAAGGCGGCACTGAAAGCAATCATGAAAGACGGCAGCAAGACACCAGAAATGAGAGCAGTCACTCAATACAGAAATGGAGGAACGATCATAGAAATGCTCACCGAAGAAGACGCAACACACCTCAAACAACCCGAGAACAAAGAGGAATTCATCAAACAACTAGATCCAAAGGCAACATTCAAAGAGAGGGCTTACCCGGTAATTATTCAATTTGCTCCACTAAAATTCGATCCAGATGATGCAGACCAACTCCGGGTCTTAGAACACGAGAACAACTGGGAACACGATACGATCACCATGGCAAGATGGGTAAAACCACCAAACAAACGAACTAATCATCAACAGGTAGCGCACATAATGCTAACAATGAAGGACCCAAAATCAGCAAACAAAGGCATCAAAAACGGCATAACTCTCAATCAAGCACGACTGCAAATGAAGAAAAACAAAAGGGAACCAATAAGATGCGCCAAATGCCAGCTCTACGGCCATATCGCTCACGAATGCCTCTCACACCACGACACGTGTGCCAACTGCTCAGAGAACCATAGAACTAACGAATGTAGCAACAGGAACAAAAGAAGATGTACCGCATGTCAAACAGAAGACCACGCCAGCTGGGAAAGAAGCTGCCCCGTATTCGAAAGAAAATGCATAGACACCGACACGAGGCACCCTGAAAACACGATGCCATACTACCCTACAGATGAACCATGGACACAAGTCACCCTACCTCCCAAGGCTCCCGCCCACATCAAAGCGCCTGCACATCAAGAACCACCGCCCCAATCCCAACCCAGACACCAAGAAACCCTAGACCGCCACATCAACACAAGAGGAACAAGACCTATGAGAGGTACGTCGCACCTTCATCATAACGCTGATTTCGCACCTCGCAGAACATACACCCCCTACCCGCAAACGCAAGACTACCCCAACTCCCCTCGTCCATATGTCTAACACACCAGACAATCAAGCAATAAGACTACGAATCTGGCAAGAGAACTTGAACAAATCCGATACGGCTCAACATTGCATCTTAAGCGGACCCTTCACAGCGAAAGCATACGACATAGTCGCGTTACAAGAACCTTTCATCGACGCGCTAGGCAACACAAAAGCCACCCCCGAATGGAACATTATCTACCCCTCTCACAGATATTCCCATCAAAGTCGCTCGCGCGCGGTTACACTAATCCACAAGCGGCTTAACACTAATAACTGGAGACAGCTAACATTCCCATCCCCAGACGTCGTAGTCATTCAAATGCAAGGTACTTTCGGGAAGATAACGATAATCAATATATACGACGATTGCAAGAAGCGAGAAGTTATCCCAGCCCTAGCGACCTTCCTAGAACGAGAATCCCGCACAATACACTCATCACCCAAGGACCACCTACTCATACTCGGGGACTTTAATGCACACCACCAACTCTGGGAAGAAACATGCAATAACCACTTATGCACAAGCCTCGAAGCGCAGGAAACGGCTCAACGGATCATCAAGCTAATGGCCGACCACGACCTCCAAATGGCGCTACCTAAAGACAAACCAACGCTCCAGTCATCAAGTAGCGGCAACTGGACAAGACCAGACAATGTTTTCTGTACCTCTCACACTTTACATTCGTTCACGTTATGCGACACAGCTCCGAGACGCCGCCCGCCATGCACTGATCACGTTCCAATTTACAGTATATTAGACCTCAACATCCCGCAAGCAACTACATCGATCAATCCTAACTACAGAGACGTGGACTGGGACGAATTCCGTGGAGCGCTAACCAGGAACCTCGCAGACATACCACCACCAATCATTATAACGTCCGAAGAACAATTCCAACTAGCGGCCGCCAACCTCAATAGCGCAATCAAGCGCACCATGGAGGAAAAAGTTCCAAAGACCAAACCCAGCCCCCATGCCAAAAGATGGTGGACGAAGGAGCTGACGCAAATGCTAAAACAAAAGAACGAGTCAAGTGGTCAATCTTACAAGTATAGAGCGCTACCTGAGCACCACATTCACGAAGAACATCGACAGTACCACAATCACGTAACAGAAACCATCCGCCGCACACGACAAGAACATTGGATTGAATATCTCGAAAACCTCGACCAGCAAAGCATATATACCGCCAACAAATATGTATCCACCCCCTACGGTGATGGAGGGAGAACCGGTGTCCCAGTGCTAAAAACCAAGAACCCCGACGGTAGTATATCAGAAGCAATCACTAACGATGAGAAAAGTAAGGCCTTAGCTGACACATTCTTCCCACCTCCCCCTCTAGCCAGCTCAGTCCCCGCCAATTTCGACTACCCAGAACCAATCACACCCTTCATGAAGATCACCGAAACGAACGTAACGAAAGCAATCGCAAATACTAGCGCCTACAAAGCCCCTGGACCGGATGGGATCTGCAATGTAGTATTCAAAATGGCCTCGACAATCCTCACACCATACCTACACCGACTCTTCAACGCAGTCTTCACCCTCAACACGTATTACGACCCCTGGAGAGAGTTCACGACAGTCGTCTTAAGGAAGCCGGGAAAGGCGGATTACTCAGTACCAAAAGTGTATCGTCCAATTGCTCTCATTAACACCACGTGTAAGCTACTAACATCGATTATTGCTGATCAGGTCACGCTCATCCTCGAATCCCACAATCTATTGCCCAACACCCACTTTGGCGGACGCCCAGGGAGAACAACGACCGACTCAATTCACGTACTCGAATCTACCATCAAAAATGCCTGGCGAAACGGCAACGTCGCATCGATCCTATTCCTGGACATAGAGGGAGCATTCCCCAACGCGGTAACAGATAGACTGGAACACAACATGAAGAAAAGACGCCTCCCCCCGGAAATCATCCAATTCACAGTACGTATGCTAACTGGACGCAAGACTCAACTACGCTTCAATGACTCAACATCGAAATGGATCGACGTACGAAACGGAATCGGCCAGGGCGACCCCCTATCGATGATAGCCTACCTGATATATAACGCCGACCTCATCGACATCGCAGAATCACGCAACAAAGAAACAGCATTAGCGTTCGTGGACGACACCGCATACATAGCCGTAGGACCGACCTTTGAAGACACCCTCAAGAACATGATGGAGAAGCCAAATGGAGCACTGCAATGGTCGAAAGACCACAATTCTAAATTCGAAGTAAGCAAGTTTGCGCTGATTGATTTCACCCACAGCAAGACACGGACCCGCCCCCCACTCGTCATTCAGAACATGACCATCACCCCAACCGATCATCACCAATTCCTAGGCCTTCTAGTCGACCAAGAACTCTCATGGAAACAACACACCGGGCATGCCATCGCCAAAGGAACTGAATACATACTTCAACTGCGACGACTATCAAGATCAGCGAACGGCGTATCAGCAAAACTAATGCGCCAACTATACTTAACGGTAGCCGTCCCGAAATTCACCTACGGAGCAAGCATATGGTTTAGGCCCATATACCACAGTGGATCAGCCAAGGAACAGAGAGGCTCGAAGGGCATAGCAAAGAAGCTAGCAAGGATACAGAGAATCGCTACGCTAAGTATCACAGGCGCTATGAACACAACCGCAACTGACCTTTTAGATATTCACGCCAACCTGCTACCAATGTCCCTTCTCCTCCAGAACACCTGCTACCGAGCGGCCATCAGACTGGCCACCCTGCCCTCACATCACCCCCTCCACAAACCCCTACAACACATCGTTAAACACCGCAACATAGCCCGCCACAGATCATCCCTTCACAATCTCGTTCAGGCGTTCAATATCTCACCAGACGACACCGAAACACTTGACCCCACCAAGAGAGCCAACGTGAAAACGCCAAATGCGTACAGCATCCACATCACACACAAGGAAAAGGAAGCAATCAAAGAACAGACAAACCTCAAAGACGAAGTCCAAATTTTCACCGGTGGTTCGGGGCGTGACGGGAGAATGGGGGCGGCGGCAGTGCTCTTAAGGAACGGGAAGGCACCGAGAATCCTCAAGTATCACCTAGGATCCGACCATCAGCACACAGTATTTGAAGCAGAGGTAGTAGGAATGACACTTGCAGCAAAGCTAATAGCTACCGAGCGCGACATGACGTACCCAGCTTCAATCTTTATCGACAATCAAGCAGCAATATTATCGGGTGAGAATTCCTACACGAAATCAGGCAGTTATTTAGTAGATCACTTCCGCAGTATGACGAAGATGTTAGCAGACAACAGACGAACATGCAGACTCAATTTCGACCTCACGCTAAGGTGGATACCTGGACATAAAGGAGTAAGTGGGAATGAGTTAGCGGACAAGGAGGCAAAGGAAGCGGCTGAAGGAGATAGGAACTCGAGCGTACGAGAAAGGCTACCAACTTACCTTCAGGTCGAGAAGCTCCCAGACAGTGTATCTGCTCTAACGCAATGGCACCAAGATGAGATCAAGAAGAGATGGTCAACAATGTGGAAGAAATACCCCAGACACGCACGAACAACCATCATAGACCCCAGCGCGCCCTCCAATAGATTCATCAAACTAATTGCAACCCTCCCAAAACGTCAAGCAAGTATATACACTCAATTACGCACGCGCCATATACCACTTAATCAGCACCTGCATCGCATTGGAAAGAGCATCACCCCCTACTGCCCCATCTGCCCCGGTATCGAAGAAACAGTACCCCATTACCTCCTGGACTATCCCCAATACACTCGAGAACGACACGTACTGTCAAACGCCTTGCGCCGCAAAGCCAACTCTATCACCCACCTCCTCACGTCGGACAAAGCAACCAGTCCACTCATGCGATATATCGGCAGCACCGGAAGATTTAAACGAACATTTGGTGAGATTTCGGACGCCTAGAACTTTCATACATTCATGCCAGCGAAACCCAACAGAAATAACAACTCAAGCATCTATCATTATCACCAAACCAATCCGCTCCACAAGAACAAAGACCCCTCAAGCATATACCCAACATATACCCCAACATATACCCAACACTCCGAGACTAAATGGAAGGACTTTCGCCGGCCGAAAGTCAATGTATCCCACATCATTCCCTCTGTACGAAATCAGCGTCGGCCTTTGCCCGACAACAAGCTGACGGAGTACGCGTGCATCATTTATCATACATCAGAATACCTACACTACGATAGACTAAGCGGGAGTAAGCCCCCCGCGTAAAGGGCTATGTTCGACATAAGGTCAATGACCTCAAAGGACAATAAAATTGATTTTTTTAAAAAAAAAAAAAGAAAGTAGTCAGTAAAATCAGACGCTCGAATAGGTATGGACCTGACCTTCAGAAATCGCATCAAGAGCACCTAGGCAGGAGTAAGAAGTAGCCCCCCCGAAACCAGCACCCTATATCCTTCAGCGAGATCCGGGGCTAGGAGATAGATACGAAACCTAATTGACGGTGTCGGGAAGAACGTACGAGTATTCAAAAGTACATACCAGTTGCCGTTGCATGCTATATGTAGCAGAACTTCATCGTGGCGTGTCCCTATATTCACCCTCAGAGCTTGATTATTGTCCACGCACTAGCCAGCTCAGCATAGACTAAGCTGCCGTCCTGCAACGAGAGGCGTGAAAGAGTAATCGCAAGCATCCCATAGTCGCCGCAGACAGTGAAGGATGGGAGTTCTTCAACTTGGTCGGTTTTGATGTATTAGCGAGCAAAAGTCGGGAGAAGCCATCCAGGTGGATGTTCCCAAATACGTTACGTGTCATTCAAGAGAATGAGGATTGATACGCAGGTGTCAGGCTACAATCGCTGTGATACGAGCGTAAATGCATGTGAGGCAGACAGTGAGAATATGAATAACACTCACAATTTATCAGTAAGGTTGAAATCGACCTTCTCGACTGTAATGCTGCGTCTAGTTCGACGGTGGATTGACGGATCGCCAGTTGAAGAGATACAAGTGAGGGGGATGTATTCACTGGGGGTACAGAAGATAAGGTGCAACTTATATATGTAAGTGAGTGGCAGCACAAGTAGTTAGCGGGTTAGTACTTCAGAACGGTAAAGGGGAACTTCGTAGCCGGTAGTAGTAGCTTAAGGAATGACATTCCTTACACGACAAAGTCGCATGACACGTGCTTTCCCTTGCTGACCTCATGCCTCAACAACCGGGACGGTAGTGCAACGTGCCTGCCTACAATTACTCTTGGTACATCACCCTTCACTATACTCTCTGGGTCTCTGATATCAGGTCACCCGCGCAGCAACACCTGAGCTTAGCAGTCGGCGAACAGTGCATCTGTGCAATCAGAAGTTGGTCCTACGCTTCATCGACACATGCTGAGGCCGCTTCAAATACGATGTCTGTGGCAACAGGCATGCCTTTTGGTCATTTTCGTGATGTTTAATCCAAACAAATAGTCATCACTATGTACCAGCCATGATTGCCCCCCTCCCACCACTCTTTCCGTCCGTATCCGAACATACGTCGCTACTAGGTGGCCTCCTTGAAATTGGTAGACCCAATAGTGAGCATCAACATTGCAGATGTGCTGTTAGAAAACTGTGTTTGGCGTCATGATGTGTGCGAAGCCAAGGTCCACTAACTTGAAAATGGCTGGAAACGCGGTCGGGGAACGACTCGGAGCTTGAGGTAAATATATCGGAAAATGGTATGATGCACTGGATTTGCAGGATGTGCAAAGCAGGTGCGTTATATTGTAGTACCAGCCAGTAGAAGACCATATGCGTCGTATGGTACACAAATCAGACGTCTGAGTCACAAGACATGTCAGTCAACGTGTTTCACACGGCAAGCTAAAAACTCCGACTTTGCCTGCTGTACCCAGACATGGATAGCAACAACCATCTTCGTTTGTCAAATAGTGGTCTGTCTGGGGGACACTACCTGTCGACATTGCCGACCTGGACAATACTTGAATCCTGGAAATGGAACAAGTGAGTATTACTCACTGGAGCTTCGGCAACCCTCGAAAATCAGCAGCTGCAATCGCACAGTGAAATTATTCACAGGACTGTCAGAACAGCACTGCCCGATGCCTACTTTAAAGAGAGAAGGACGAACGCATGCTTAGTATGCCCTCAACTTCATTATGTCCCTCTTACCCTGCGCTGTCCTCGCATATGTTCCGCTTGTTTGTGCTTCGCTCTCGAGTCTCGGCGATACCAGTATCCATACACTCAATTCCAGTAATTGTCCATCCTGCAACACCAGAACCTTATGGGACATTCTCTTGAGCTGTGGCTTGACTTTATTCGCGTGCACATGGACTGCCATCCACACGAATATTCCAAAGATGGGTCAAGGCAAAGTGTCCTTTACCTATTATCGTCTGGTCTACATGGTCTTGGGGTTGATCGCCCCAGAAATCATCATCACCTGGGCCGCGGAGGAGTTTTTCAGTGCTCGTAATGTTGCAAAGAACTTTAATGATGAATTTGGTGTGCAGCGTGCCAAGACCCACGGCGGTGATAAAGATACGTCAGAGAGCACAGCTACATTGCTCAGTGAGATTCGTGGAAGTTCAAGCGCTCCCAGACCTGTAGCAGAGTTTAAAGGTCATTTACGTCCTTGAAATCTTCCATCACACATGGCTAACATGCCCTTCACAGAATGGACAATGACCCATGGGTTCTTCGCATGGATGGGCGGATTTATGCTCTATGTCGATGGCAGGCCACGAGCCATCCTTACACCCAATGAACTCCTGCAGTTTGTTCGTGACGGATCCGTGGACATGCCTGTGATCTCGGAGGAAGAGATAGAAGACCGAAGCAAGGGTGATGGACTATCGAAAGGCATCGCCCTTCTTCAACTGGCATGGTTCGCCGTCCAGTTCTTCGCTCGTTACATCGAGAATCTTCCGAATACCCTGCTTGAAACGGACACTCTGGCTATCGCTGCTCTAACCTGCATTTCATATGGCCTGTGGTGGAAGAAGCCCAAGGATGTGAGATGTCCCTATGTTGTTCATTGGAAGGCAGTAGCATCACCAAGCCGCTTAACCAACGAGTACGTCACCATTGCTATTGTCTGAGATGGTTCTGATTCATCTGTATTCTAGCAAGGCAGATTTATCCGGATCTTCTCCTGTTGACCCTATAGCCGAAGAAGTCAGGCCCAGTGCCGTCCATTCTCGTCGTGTTGTATATCTAGGTGACTACGGCACTAGGTCCTATGTACTTCTCATTGGATGTTCCAGTGTGATGGTGTTTGGAGGGATACATTGTCTGGGCTGGAATTACTTGCCTCAGGGAGCAGCCACGATATGGCACGTGGCTTCCCTTATGACAGTATGCGCACCGGTTTTCGTTTTTTTTGGTGTTGGATATCATCTGCATACGGACAGGTCTAATGACTCGGTGTTCATGACACTCGTGACATGCGCTGCACCTCTCGGCCTTATAACATATATAATTGCACGCTCTATACTAATTGCATTTATTGGGATGAGCTTACAACCACCACTGCCTCCTGGCGTATACGACACAGTAGCGTGGACCATGTATATTCCACATTTCCATATATAGTTTTATTACATGGTTGTAGCAGAGTACTGGTTCTTCCGAGATCACCGCTTCAGAATCGGAGGTGCAAGCACGGATAAGTTCGAACATAGCAGGTCGGCTTACCCGGAATTGATGTACTACGACATCTGAGTTGATGCTTTCCACGGCAAAATCACACACATCGTTTCATTGTACTGGGTCGATCGATCGTGAAAGACGACCTTGAAGGATAGTATGCTGGATCATAATGATCCGGGTAAATCAAGGATTCACATCGTGTAGTCTCATAGAGATCGCTGAAAATGTGAATCTCAGTTCAAGGCGGAGGTGACACTTCTCCTTACCTTTCAAGATCGCCGCCGCCGAGCGAGTTTGCCGAACAAGTTGAGCCTATGGTCCGACACATATTGCGCAGACAGGGACATACCATCGCCTGCATGTATGACAGGACTCCTCGAGACCATACAAGGTCCATGGGACTACCATATGGGCTTATTATCCTCTGGCTTTTGAACACATGCTGAGGGGATAGGTAAGTGAACAGGACGGGTTGTCAGAAATGAGTGACATACCATATATCTTACCGGGAAGCAGCTTGAAGACATCTAGAAAACCTCTTTTCTCGTAAGCGAGTCATTCATCTGTGACACCCATCGGCATGTAGCTATTGGGACTTAAGATGTGCACCTTGTGTGACTGCTCGGAGTACATATTTGACGACTCGATGACATGGGCTCGTACCTGCGCCAAAAGTGGGTGTCGATGTTCCGCTGAGGATGTGTTGATAAGCTGAGACGGAGTCAACTTGAGGGAAAATCCCTCGTGCGAAAATATCAGTCGATTTGAAATTCACTATCAATTCTAAAATGTCATTGAATGTCAAGTCAATGTGGAATTGTGTTTACGGTCACCTCTCACACAGACCTTAATCAAGGGCTGCTCAAAATGACCTTGCTCTCGCCAGGATACAGCATGCATACCCGTACTGGCCTGTATAGAGTGTAAGGTCAGAAGCTCTTTGAGGCTGATAGCAATTGTTGACGATGTTATCGAATCAGCGTTCGGTCAACAGGGACCACGGCCGACTCAGTTTCGGCAATCAGCGTGTACCTTGGGTAAGCAGCATTAATCATGACATGCTCAGTTGACGTTGACTTATCTTAAAATTGAGCAGCCCTTGATTTTAAGTACGATACTTCACCAACTATCTTGGCTGTGACCTGTAGATAGCCATCAAATGGCGTAGGAGCTCCACGTACAGCTGACCCAAGAAGCACCACGGTGCAATCTAAGGGGTCTTGGCGCCATCAAACTTTCACATTGAACATGTACGACGGCACCATAACTAGATTCCCTGTGCCATAACCAAAGGAATCTATGGTATAGCGCTAGTGCCAAAAACTGATATGCACTGATACACGGGGGTGGCCACGACCTTAAAGAGAGCAGAAAGAACAGACTTACTCTCTCAATCTCGCCATGACCCTTGTAACCTTGGGTATCCTGTCATGCATCCCGTTTGTCTGCGCCTCACTGCCGAGCCTCAATAGTACTAACATCCCCACACTCAATGTCAACAACTCTCCATCCTACAACTATACCAGATCCTTGTGGCACATCATCTGGAGCTGTTGCTTGACTATATTCGCATGCACATGGACTGCAATTCATCCCAACATTCCGGGTATGTACGAGGGCAGAGTTGCCAAAATTACTCGTCGTGCATTAATCATGGGGTTCGCAATGGCTGCCCCAGAACTCGTAGTCATCTGGGCTTTGAGGCAATTGTTAGTGCTCGCAAAACTGCAAAGGAAGTTACAGGTAGGCCATATGCTTGGACCATATAAGTTGGCACTCAATCGATGAGTCTTCAAAGGATGGGGAATGACCCATGGATTCTTCGCATGGATGGGTGGATTTATGCTCTACGTCAATGGTTCGCCACGGGCCACTCTTACACCTGATGAACTCCTGCAGTTCGTGCGTGAGGGATTTGTTGATATGCCGATCATCACTGAGTCAGATATAGATGATAAAAGCAAGGATGACAGGCTATCTAAAGGCGTCGCTATTCTTCAACTGGTGGTGGTGGAAAAAGCCTAAGGATATAGGACTTCCTTACGCCGTTCATTGGAAGGGAGCCACATCACCCAGAGACTTAACCTATGAGTACGTTATCAATATTTCTGTCTCGAGATCGCTCTGTTTAGCTTGCATTATAGCACGCCATTTTTACCTTTGGAAGCTCTGATACATCCCCTTGAGACTCTTATGGGAAATCGGGTCCTCATCTCTCCCTGGGCTGTCCGTTCTCGTCACGTTCCATCTCTAGGTGGCTATGGCGAATCTCATGTTATGATGACACTTCTCATTGGATGTGTTTGTGGGATATTGTTTGGATGGATATATTATCTGGGATGGGACTACCCGTTTAACCGAGGCTGGCGTTGGTTTGTCATTTGGACAACATGTATTACAATAATTTTTCTTCTTATTGTTGGGTTTATGATGTGGCGGGGCCACAACAATGGGAGTAATAAACACGCGATGACAGTGGCCTTTGCAGGTCTCAGTGTCTTCTTTTATTTTATTGGGCAGGTTGGACTAATTGCCTGTACGATACTGAGCTTACAATCGACGCCCCCAGCTGGTATATATGATACAGTATCGTGGACCGAGTATATTCCACATTTGTAGTTTTATTACATCGCCATGACGGAATATGATAACTTGTATGTTCTTCTGGATCAAAATCAGGAGTGCGAGTATGACTTGGGCAAGTTAACCTAATGTATTGCAACAGGCTACAATTCTACTTGGCCTGTGAACAATGAACAGTGTTCATCGAAAATTTGGAATATGACAATGACAGAATACATATGCTGCATACAGAACTAGCATGACATTAATGCAAAAAGACCAGTCCTGGAATAATATGAGCGCATGTGAACATCATCCTAATCTACTTACCACTGGAAAAGTCCGTCAGTGCGACCCTGCAGCTACAGCGGCTCGAAAGGGAACTCAGGCGCAGATGGGGAAGTTATGAAAAAGGACCTTGGACTGTTCAGAACGTCGCTCTTGCTATCGTGCAGTGGTGATGGGTGCGGTACTGGGGGAAGTTTGAGCGCTGTTATAAATCACTACACTCAGCTATCTATTCGAATCTCAACAATCCCCTGGCTTTTGACTCACGCCAAGGGGGTAGGTCAATGAACACTCAGTGGACGAGTTTGGGATGACTCGGATCTGTCAGAAATGGGTCATCAGTGAATTCATGATTGAGATATTGTAGCCATGACATGAGTACCCTGAGGAGCAACTGATTGTAGTGTGGTGACTGTGCGGACCCAGGGGAGCGCCTGGCAGTGCGGTCCTACATATAAATTAACTGTGTCATTGGTGGGTATGGTACAGCAAGTCGTACTGTCAAACATTACTGGGCTACTAGGCTACGAGTCACGACGAGTCATGAAAGGTTATTAAACAAATGGTACAGCATTACCAGTACCAACGACCTGCTCTTAAAGCTTGAGAGAGCAGGATGAACCGACACCATATCCTCAACCTCACATTGATGATGATCCTCCTGCCCTGTGCTGTCCTCTTGTGTATTCCGTTTGTTTGCGCTTTACTCCCGAGTCTCAACGACACCAGTACCCACACACTCGATGCTAGTAGCCCTCAATCCTGCAACACCAGAACATTGTGGGACATTCTCTTGAGCTGCAGCTTAACATTGTTTGCGTGCACGTGGACTGCAATCCATCCAAACATCCCGGGTATGGACGAGGGAAAATTTGCAATTACCTCTCGTCGTCTATGCATCATGGTCATATCGTTAATCACCCCAGAACTCATGATCACCTGGGCTGCGCGGCAGTTTGTTAGCGCCCGTAAAACTGCAAAGGAATTCAATGATGCCTTTGATCCAGTTACATTGCTTAGCGACATTCCACTGGCAGACGCAAGTAAAAGACCAAGCGCTCCCAAACCTCCAGAGTTTAACAGTGAAAGTCTGAGCGCTTCCAGACCTACAAAGTTTAGACGTCTGTTAATTTCCTGGATTCATCTGTCAGACAGGAATTAACATGTAACTGTTGCCTTCGCAGGATGGACAATGACACATGGATTCTTCGCCCGGATGGGCGGATTCATGCTCTATGTCAATGACGAGCCACGAGGCACTCTTACACCTTATGAACTTCTGCGATTTGTTAGTGAGAAATCTGTGGAGATGCCTGTCATATCTAAGGCAGAGATAGAAGATCGAAGTAAAGGTGATCCACTATCCAAAGGCATCGCCGTTCTTCAGTTGGTGTGGTTCGTCTCCCAGCTGATCGCCCGTTATGTCCAAAACCTTCCGATAACCCTGCTCGAAATCGATACCCTGGCTATAGCTGCTCTGACCTGCATTTCATATGGCTTGTGGTGGAAGAAGCCTAAGGATGTGGGATGTCCTTATGCTGTTCATTGGACGGCAAGAGCATTGCCAAGCCACTTAACCTATAAGTATGCTGTAAATGTTCTTACCTGAAATTGATCTGATCCGCCCATTCCAGTAACGCCGATCTTTATCCCTCCGACAGTAGCCAATTATCCTACATTCGGCTGACTCAGATCCGTCTCACCTATCCCTTTGTCAGTCTTACGGGCATCTGGGCTAGTATTTCCCCCAGTGCTGCCCGTTCTCGTCCTGTTCCATCTCTAGGTGGCTACAGTAGGAGGCGTGATAAGATTGTATTTCTCACTGCCAGTGGATGTTTCAGTGGGATGGTGTTTGGAGGGATGCATTGTCTGGGCTGGAATTATGTTTTTCACACAAACACAGAGCACATATTATGGCGCGTGGCTTCCCTTGGGATAGCATGTGCACCGGTGATTATTTTTCTTGATACTATGTCATACATGAAGCATTGGATGTCGTTGACAATATTCGGACTTGCATTTGGATATATTGCTGCTTCTATATATATTGCTGAGCTTGCGATCATTGCCTCTTGACGTGTACGACACAGTAGCTTGGACCGAGTTTATTCCACATTTGTAGTTTCATTACATCTCCATGACAGAATATAAATACTTGCCTTCTGGGATGACTATCATAATCGGAAGTGTGAGCACAACTTGACCAAGTTCGAACCTAATGGCAGACCACTGTTCCACTTGAATACCACACGATCAACACTCGATGATCTAAAGAAAGGGTGCCACATGAATGAGTGAACAGCGAACGGTTTCATCGAGTGTGGCTGTGACAGCGTCTAGATACACCGAAGGTGTACATATCATCGTGGAGATGCTAAAAGAGCAGTCCTTGCATAGTTTATGAGCGCATGTGAGCATCAACTCAATCTACTTACCTTTGGGGAAGTCTGTCAACGCGCCCCTACTCAAGGAGGCATACATTTTTACCAAGGATACATGCGCTTGACAATACGGTCATTGGCGATATCGATATGATGGCATGATATGTATAAATGAAGCACATTACATAGTCATGATCCGACGACACGTTGATTCAATGTGAAAGTGGCTGTGGTGAGAAGTTGGCCTGGTCGTTACCGGTTAATAGCCCTCTCGATGAAAATTTAGCGAGCCGCTCACTTTAAAGACAGGAAGGTCGAGGGGTATGCCCGCGCTCGGGCCAGTGCTTCAAAACATAGGGATTCGAACATCAAATGATGCCCTACTTGTTGTCAGGGTTCACTAACGGCGCAGTGCGACAGGGTGTAAGTCATTCATCAGAGAACTGATGAGTTCTCGATATTGTAACCGTGGGAAGTATAGCACCGTATAATTTTGCTGTCGCGAAATATTATCTTTTATACTGTGGGCAAATTGAGTTGTACATACATACCCATGGATGCCTGCAAATCGAGCTTCACATGATCGACCTACGACAATGCTGTGACATCCCTCCTTGTAGCCGGTCGAGGAACGCTAGTATAATTATTCCAAATATTTTGTGCGTTCTCATTTTCCAACAATCATGTTTTGCATTATATGGCTATGCATGGCTTTCTCATGGGATACGACATTAGCATTGGTGATCAAATCTCGATTACCATGGGAGTTTGTGACAATGTTGTGACATTGCACGCATTGCAGCCTAAAGGTATTGTAGGGTAAAGGTTGTCTCCTTGTTGGGTGTTCTCGTGTACCATTCTTTAGGTTTAAAAATATAATGTTATTCATGACTTTTTGGTAGAATACGTCTTTCGCACCGATCAACTAGGCTTGTCGAGACTGCCAACTAAAACGTAGCTCCCATGATTTATAGACGTGATAAAACAGTGTATATTTGGGTAAAGTAGACTGCCCTTTTGTCCGGTGTAGCTACAAAAAATATGCGTATACGGTATAGCTCACACAGAAATTGACCAGTTCGTCCTGTTTGATTTACTATGGTTATGGGTACACGACCGAAAAGGTTATCATGCAGGTGAGACTTTCACCGTGACATAGCCGCCAGCTCGCATGAGGCCGACTTCGATCGAAACTGGTACCGTTGATTGCGTCACCGATGCTTCCTGAGCAAGAGGGCGAACCTCAGGAAGGGTGTGCGAAGAGTAAAGTCACCCTGACACACGCGCACAAGGGAATGTGCATGTGTCAACTCGCAAATAAATGCGGATCTCAGTACCAGACGGTACCGGCTCAAACAGAAATTTTCGCATTCTCTATGTATGGCTTATGATCGCCCACGGATTCACCTGTTGGTCGTCGGTCCTTACAACATCAAGTTGATATATAATTCCAATACATAGTAAGTGAGGGTATCCGGTAAACAGAGACATTAAAATGCACAAACAACACCCTCAGTTCGGTGACATTCCAGTCTTTGATCTTTGTGTTGGGCGAGTCATTCGGCCAAGAGACGTATATGCCTTTGACTAGCGGCCCACGATCTTCAGCGATCGAGGTCAGCCAAATGAGAACTACGCACCATGATGGAACAGAGCCCGAGGCTCCGAGTCACTCTACATGTACGGACGCAACTGCCAGGCTTGGCCGGTGCTCATCACGCAGACAACACGTTCCCGTGCATCCACGCCATATTTCTGCAACGCGTCAGTGCTATCAACAACAAAGTACCATTGAATATCTCCGCGAGGCGTAGGCTGCGACGACGAGGAAGGCGGTACTCGCCGCCTGTCAATGTGAATGACATCCTCAGCGCGGGAGTTTCCAGCAGATGTAGCACGTTCGCGTGCCGCTGAGGAAGACTCGAAACTACAAGAACAAGACATCAACTGAAAGAAGCATTTGGCTGATAGAGTAGAACGTACAGTGATTCTTGCAGGAAACGCTTGACGTCATGTATAGTTATAAGGGCAGTCTGAGAGGAGGAAATCATGATGATAGGGTACAGATTTACGACTTCGGCAATATAACGTCGCTTTGAGGGAGTGGTGGTGGCTTCTGCAGCATGCGCTGCTCGCTTTGAGGTAATGAAGGGTATAGTGGCTGCACCACTGGCAGGGTGAGTAGGTGTCCATGGAAGTGTCGTTGACTCCGCTGCTGCAGGAAGCTCGGTCACAGTTCCAGGTCCAGTTTACATGTCTACGCACCTGCGAATGACATTAGTCTTGTCAATCAAGTAGTACCTTGCCCTCCAGCCGTTCGACGATTTGAACTAGGATCAGAGTCAATGTCACATATATGAGAGAAATGTGAAGCGCTGCACATGGTGTAGTTGAGTGACATACACGTCACTCCGGAAAATGCCGGGGACACAGCTTTGCCCAAATCGGGACATTTATCGTAGCTAAGAAGATCACTCAACGAGAAATACCATCGATTCACTCTGCTTCAATTTAACTAAATCTACAACACTATTACTACTAGTATGAATCACAATGCTGCCGCCAACGGAGGGGGGGGAAACCGAAACGGAGACGGAGACGGAGATCAGAACCATCAGGTGCGTTGAACATTTTCGAACATCTGCTACTCACTGACTCGGATATGCCGCAGATTCCACAACAATTCTTACAGCACGCACCAAGGCCACGGAGCGTGACATTCACGATGACAAGAACGAATCTGGTAAGCGTTACATTCAATGGCAAGCTAAACACTGACATCGTTAGGAATTAATATACGTTACATGGGCCGCTGCGCGAGCCCGCGTGGACCAAGAACTCTACCGCCCACACTTGCCATTTCAGCCCGTGCCGCTGCCTCCGTACTGGTCAGACGAAGATCGGGCGATGATGGTCCTTTGGGTTGCGAGAGAGCGCCGTGTTTTCGAGATGGAGATGCGGGAGTTGGAGTACCTCCTGGGACTCCGAGGTGCGCGCTAGCTTCGAGGTAAGCCGCCGGTTCGAAACCATGAGATTTCGCATTGACTTACAGGTATTAGGCCGTAAACATAAAGAAGGTTCCAAAGCGCGATAATGCAGACGGCTGCACATACTGGACACATGTAAATACACTTTACTACCAATGACCCCATATAGTCGTTCCAGCGGACTAGGCTGTAAATATTTCAGCTGTCGGGTGAACTCGTCAACACAGTAAGTGGTCAACGTTCTCTTACGATGACCAGTGGGGGCAGAGGGGTGCACGGCGCATTCGAGATGGAGGTCACTCTCGTTCGCTCGCATATATTGCGTGCCAGGTATGTGGTAGCACCTGGTGACATTAGCGACAGACCAGGCTGATCAAACGGACAGATCCGTTTCGAACTGTCTTCCGTTACCTCCTGACGTTCATTCGACGGTGAATTCTATTATGTCCAATTCTGAGGACACTCGTAGAACGGATAGCTCATCGTCAACATGGTCGAGAGCCTTCTTGCTGTTTGAACTAGCGGCAGCGAGAGTTTGAAGATCTCCGACGGCAGTGGTCAATCCTCCACGGGTCATCTATGCACAATAAAAATGTCTCCTTAGTCTACAATATATATAATGCATTGTATAAGTTCAGTATAGGGCTCACCGAGCGAGACATAGGCTCCAATGAATCATCGTCGTTGGTGTAGAGATGTCTGAGTATCATCCTCTCGAAGCGGTTATTCTCTTGGAGAGAGAGTGGCGAGCGATAAGGATGATACATGCTATCGCTCGGCGTCCGATGAGCACTACTTGATCCAGCCCCAGGGGAGGAGTGAGCCTGGACATGGTGTATGTGAGTGGAATGTGTAGGACTTGGCATCTGAGGGAGCTTACAATCTGCATCCGATTCTTTGCGCAATAAGCTGGACATGATATGGGGAAACAGAAGCTCCCCAACAGCCGATGGCATTAATCCCAGCTGTTATCCTCCCGCTTGAAAGCTCCTGTAAGACATAGTACACCCGGGCCGCAGCAGCAGTTGTGGCTGACCCGAACAATCAATAATCTGGAGTTCATAGGGTTTCTAACGAACGAGGACCAGGTATTGGGGCTGTGATCGCACAGCAGAGACCATCTGGTTTCGAGTGGAGGGTCACCTCCACCCTGCCTACATCATCTGCGAACCGATCGCAGTGAAGTTTTGATAACAGCACATACAACAATATCATGCTAGATTGGATTTAGGGAGCAGAAGCAAAGCCAGAAGATGGTAGCAACATGAAACCTGTAATGTTTGTGTTTGTTTGACTCGGACTTGTTGGTTGATACCTATCTCTCTGATTCTCTCACACTTCTCTGATAAGCCTGATAAGCACAAGCTGCACAACGTGAAGAACATGTAGCAAATGAAATCGTTCATCGGCATTCACTAATTATTGTACATGAAGCTCTCAGCTCCCACCAAGCTTATAATGGCCATGTGCAAGAAGTTGGCGCGGCACAAAGTGGAACGAGGGTGTAAATTAGTACGCCCTTCAGCTAGGAATTCAACATCAACAGCCTCATCTCCGACAAAATGTTTCCCCTGAAATTCATTTTCGGGAAAGATGAGGAGACTGACAACTCGGATCCGTTTGAGTTCTTGATGTGGTGTCGGAACTCAACTCGCCACGGTAGGTTTCCGAGTCAGAAAGAGAATTCGATGGACTCGTCGTCCTCATCCTCGTACCCTTCGTGTTCTTCGTTTCCCTCATCCTGTTCCCCCCCACTAAGCTCTTCGTCTCCCTCGCTATCGCTGTCCTCCCCTGCCCCATGAAATCCATCAGGGCCCTCACCATCAGAGTCCTCTCCACAGTGGTCCAAATCCTGCTCACTATTTGCAACATCCATATTATGGGCAGAGGCCGCTGTGTCAGATCCCAGACAGTCTCTGACGATCCTGCGCAACGTAGCTGAGTGTCCGATACCGAGGTGAGTATAGCGCATAAACATATCCCGGTCAACGAATCTGGCTCAGAAGCATGAGTACTAATGGGCCAGGAAGGGCTAGTCACACTCACATTCCAACGTAATGCTCCTCCCAATCGTCTAACTGCCCTCCAGGACGTGCCAAGGATTTCCCCTGGCGAAGCGAGCTTACACAACGATCCGAGGCAAACACAGGAATCAGATGCGCTCCTCGAATTACTTGCCCTGGATCGAGGAATCCGAATGCGTCAGGGTCTGATTCCTCTACAAATGCAACCTTGGGTAAACGTGCATATTTCATGCCAGATCTCCAGCCCTGAACCACTGCAAGCCATCGGACCCAGAGAACTTCAAGGTAGCGCTTCACAGGTTGCTCCCCGCCGCCGCCCTGGAGCCATACCTCCATATGATAAATGCCTAATACTCGGGCATACCAATATGGGTGGCTAGGCGTAGTCTCCCCTGAAAGCACCATCACGTCCCCATGGGTTCTAGGGTTGATGGTGTCGTATTCGCGCCTCAAGTCGTAAGTGGTATAGTGTATTCGCATAGTCTGAACCGAGTAGATCCTATTGTTGGAAATAATGACTGTGTTGCGTTCCTCCTCGGTGAAGGTGTGGTCACAGTAGCTGACCTCTAGCCCCCGAAGCCTATAGAGGACGTGATCCTTTAGTTTCGGTATGAGATTCTGACGATCGTCGTGAGCAAAATATGAGTGTCTCAAAAATATGAAACTTCCACCTTGACAGCGGGATCACCATCATTTTCTCGGATAAATGCAGATATATCCACTGGATTGTTCCGGGCAGTTGAGATGGTGTGATGCTGAGATAAAGGTGAAGCGGTATCAGCTTGTAATGGACTGCTATATGAGGGTACACCTCCTGCTTCTGCTACCCGCCGTAGCACACGTCGTCTGCGTTCATGTTTTGCTAATTGTGCTGGGGTGTCTAACTTATTAGTCAGTGGATAAAACGCCTTCAGGGCCCTGTGGGCAAGTTCCCCCTAGTGCAGCTTAAGCTCAGGCGTAAAGTAGAAACGCAAGCCATACGCACAATTTGAGTAGAAAATGAATCAGTAGTTCCGAAGAATCTAATGGTTCTCACGTAATCTCCCATCGCGTGAAATTTGTAAGTGCTCAAATTAAACTTCTTACTCCTTGCTCCGCTAGACTCTGGAGGAGTATTACTGGTTTCAGAGCGTTGAGCGGCCCTTCGTTGGCGGGCTGCTTTTTCTTTGGGCAATTCCACGGTGTTGAAGGGAGCACAGGTATAGCGTTGAAACTGACACAACTTCTGAGAGAGTTTGTTGAATGTTTCTTCGAGAAAGGTAACCGTAGACTCGGAGTGCATCCTGAGCTTCGCGAGCGCATGCCACTGTGCAAACCGATAAAGCAGAGACTGAACGAGTGCATCGTGGTTGCCGGGAAACAGCCCTTCAAAGGCTGGAATAGCACACTGATAAAGGAGGGCATGTCAGCGAGTCCGACAGAAGATGAAAGCAGCCCGAAAAAAACCTGTAGGATGTCTTCGAAGTCGCGTGCTGCTAATCGTTTCATCTCAGAGGTATTGTCTGAAAACTTTCGAATCACGCCGTTACCGAACGTTGAGATCTGGCGAAATCTGAAGCGAAAGTTACGAGCCCGTAAGCAGACAGCAGCAGCGTTCTGTACAAATTCCACATACCTGCCGTCAAGGGTCGTAACAAGCTGGCCACCCTGGGGAAGGGCATAAAGAAGCCGTATAAGATGTGTGAACAGTGATTTCCATGTGCCCAGTTCGCCCTCGTGCATCAAGTCGACCACCAACATGCGGAATGGATCGAGGCCGAGCTGTCCGAGCTTGTTCACAAAACGATTCTTCCAGTAGATGGTCTGAATCAGATCGTGAAATCAAAGGGAATTTGTTGTGCTTACTAGAGTGGGTACCCAAGAGCCTTCCCCGAGAGCGTTTTCTACCTTTGCGCCATCCACCGTGATTCCCGATCCATAGATAAAATCACGAGCCTTAACAACATTTGTCATAGCATATGCTCGAAGGTTAGTTACACGTCTTTTCATATCTCCAACCAGCCCGAGGAAATTGAACATGGTTTTCGGCGTGACACAGCGAGGGCATGGACACAAACCCATGTCCTTGATAGTCGCGATTAAAACCCTGTAAGGTGATGAGTGATTCAACAGCGCCAGGTTGGTGGAAGAATATACTTTTCGGGATAATCTGCTGAATAGGTGAAGATTCTGGGAAAGACCCTCCGCAACACACCATCAGCGCACTTCAGAACGATACCGTGGCGATATGCGTCAAGAAAATCTTCATCCAATAAAATTTCCCAGCATCCCTGAAACAACTCCCTGCGGCAGTGGGTTTTGAGGGAAGCCATACCAGTTTTTGATACGCGAGATAGGCCACTCAGAACATCTTTGATGCTGTCAGGAAGCTAAATTTATCAACAGACGTAGAAGCCATGTTGCGTTAAATTGAACTTACAGAGGGTAAAAATCCAACAAGGTGACAAGCCCCTGATCGAGGTGACGACCGTGCATATTTTGTCAGATTGCCGAAATACATGTACAGCGGCCAAGCCTTCGCTGTTCCAAAGTTGGCCAGATGGGTGGCATCAGAAAAAAACATCAAACCCGCGATGACACGCTCCAGCGAACAACCAGGTTTCTTTGGCAGTCTCTGAAGGGCGTCCTGAGCCTCTAACCAGGCGTCAGATGTGTACAGCTCGTCGTACACCCGCTCCTGATGGCCATCCAGGGGATCTTTCCACAACCGTTGGAAAGGCAGGATGTGGAAGGTGCGCGCCTGGACATCCGCAAATGCCGCGCGAATTACATCAATGAGAGGACGGTAGTGGAATCCGGGAACGACGTAAGGACGAGGGCCGTCGTCCAGCGACTTTGTTGGGATGTCGATGGTGACACTGGTTTTGATCCATTCGTCAGGGAAAGTGGTTCCGTTCCCGCCCTCCTCTCCGAGTCTATCCAGCTCTTGCAGGCTGCGCCTCACTGAAAAGCTTTCGAGGTGCTTTAAGTTGAAGTCCTCGGCCAGCATCACCTCCTTCACGAGCCGCGATATCTTAGTTTCAGAAAGGAGGCTGCTACCGGAGTTCGCCCACGACATGAGGCGGTATATGGTCATGTTAGGAAAGGGGTGAGGTGGTGGGAAGACGTCCGGCGGAGAATCTGTTTCTGCGGTGGCTGCTGGGGATGTTCTTGCAAGTAGCGTGGATGGGACAAAGATATCTGGCTCAAAGGAAGGACGCCGAGGATATAATCTGCAGAGCCCAAATGAGTTGAACGTCGTTTGAAGAGTGTCCCTTAGGGTGAGAAGGACACGTTGGATTCGGGATTGGGCGGGTAGGGAGGTCGAACTTTCAGCTGGCGGGACTCGGGAGCCAGCATCATGAGAATGATTGAGGTCATTGTATGTGTATGAATGCTCAATGTCATTGAGAGATCCCGGAATATGTCTCATTGGGGCCGTGGTTTCCCCTTCGAGCAATGTGTTAACACTCATCAGAGTTCAGAAGCTGCCTAACTTGAAGGAGACACTAACCTGAACTATAGTCCATCGCGGTTTCAGAATGGGTCCCCATCTCAACATCAGTATGGTCGTTCTGTTCCACTTGTGAGTCCTGCAAGTACACGGGACAGGACTCGGACTCGGAGGCACGGCTCAATGCGCTCGCCATAGACATTGGCCTAATGAGTCTGCGAGGGGTAATAGGCTTCAAATTCAAGCCGTCCCTCACATACCGCACAGCTGAGATTCTCCGAGACTGACAACAGGTTATCACTGGTACTCCCAAGTGTTTAACTTAGTAAAAGCTCACTGATATGTTGGCTGAAGAATTCGAAAGCGGATTCGAAACAACCGGCGACTCCCTCACGCGATCTCGTCTCCTCTGGCTCGCAAGGACGCTGGCTCTCTTATGGAAATGGCAACTGGCGCGATGCCTGCTGAGCCCTCGAGAGTCCGTCGTCCCAGGCTTCTCCCAAGAGCAACCTAAAGCACCACAAGATATCATTAGTAAAAGCAGCAAGTAAAATGTAAGTAAAAAAGCCCCCGAAGCCCGCATGGCCGCACTCGAGCAGAGGCAGAAACCAAGCAGAAACTGCGGAAGCCGCAGCGTTGGACAATAATCATCAACAAAACTACTAGTAGGAGTCCGCCGTGCGAACTTATGACCTTGCTCCGATTATCCAAATTCTGGAGTTCGATTGGGTGAATTTTCATGGGAGAAACAATGCTTGAATTGCAATCAAAACGCTTTCGCTTTGACAAATTTATTTCCTCGTGTGCGATCTCCATCTAAACTAACCCTATACTTCGGAGCGCGTCCCCACCCTGCGTACTAGTACATGCCCTGCTCGACACCGCCTGTGCCAATGTCAGATCTCTAGAATAGTCACCACCACGCGTGATCGATGAGCATCCCGCTCACGCCCTGCACAGCGGCATCTGTCCCGCCCGTGAGGAGGTCCGTGCCCAAGAGTGCAAAGTATGCGACAGGGATGGTGATGAGCTCTATGATGCTCGTTAGCGCGCCTGCTAAAGGACAGTGTTGTGGTCGGATAAGTGAAATGAAAGAAGCGGGTAATATGTTGCGCGGGGAATCATGCAGTGCGAAGAGATTTTACATATACTGATACAAAGGCCACCCATCCGATGTAACGTTTTTATGACCAAGTCGAAGGGCCAAATGTCTGGAGGCATCACATAGAGTGGCGTGCCTAGTGCATCTGCGGTGTTCATCCATACGGTGTTACCCCACCAATTGAGGGTAATGCCACCTTTCGGCATCTGAAGAGTGAAGAAGATGACGATGAGACTGATCGCGACGCCTGCGTCGAGACCAGCGGAGAGGATGTAGTTGTAGCGCATGAACCACTGGAAGATGAAGCCGACAATTGCCCAAGACGCAAAGTTAATGCCAGTGGCAGGAGGCATGGCACCAATGCCGGCGAAGAAAACGGGGATGTTGATGTATCTCCAGTAAGAGAGGGGGAAGCGGCGAGCGAGGTAGTAGAAGGGGATGGGAAGGAGGGCACCGACGGCAAAGAACTAGAGCAATGGGCTGTACATGGCACCAGGACTGAAGAGACGGTGGGGGCCGATGCTACCCCAGAGGAGCGACGCACTCCCGAAGGTACCGGTGGATTGGCAGATGAAGAACTGGGGCTGGTTAGGTTGGCAAATGTCCACGATGTTGGCGAACATCCAGTTCTGCACGAGGGTGACAACGATGCAACTGAGGAATGCAGCGAGGACCTGTGCTGTGAACATGAGACGCGGGGGCACCTTCATGTAATGACCAAGCTTCAAGTCGCCAGCAAAGCCAACCGCCTGGTTTGTACCCATGTATGCGCTAGCTTTGAAGATCATGACAGCGACGGGTTTTCCAGGCAGCAAATAGGCACCAATCATCTCGAACATGACGTTCAAGGCGATCTGCTGATTGGTAATTGCTTGGAGCATGCCGACCGGAATGGCGAGGAGTGCAGCGAGGGCGAGAGCAACGCAAACACCCCAGATAGGGAGATCCGTAGGGAAAACCTCCACCGTAATGAAGAGGAGGAGAAGCATCAGGAGGCCCAGGATCACATACCACCACTGTGGAACTTCGGAGTATGCCTGCATCAGGCGCGAATGAACATCGCGCTCATCCCTGAGGCTGCTCTTGAAGCGGCGAACGATGTCACGGCGGTACCACACTGTGATGACACTGTTAGAATGGGGCGACACAGATATCGAAGATAACTCACAGAAGGTATACACGACCACTGAGGAGAAAGCGGTAAACGCAACACCATATGCAATAGCCATGGTCGCCGTCATGAAGACGGGCGAGTAAGCCTCGTACTGCGCGACGTTGAAAGTGGCATTGGCGACCACCTGAGCAGGTCATACGGCAGTCCGGTGTTGTCGAAGGTCATGTAGGACGAAATTGGCAAATATGCGGTGAACCAAGTGTTGGTAACTGCGAGATACCCTCAGTATGTTGCGCAATACAAAATAGAGAGAACGTACAGTAGATGATCGGTGTAATGATCCAGAAGCAGATCACAAGGGCAACGGCTGTGTTGGCCTCAGACCATCAAGGCGTCACCAATGGGCTTCCAATATACGAGATCATGGACCAGTCAAAAGTGAAAATGCCAATGCCAAGACCAGTGGACGTGCCAAAGAGTGCATTCACAGCCGCGTTGTTAGGAGCAATCCAGTAGACCCAGTTGAACACACTCAGTCCAGTCCACAAGTATACAGGTACCCAGTACCACACGAAACTGCAGCCCAGTGCAATGCAAAAGAATTTCTCCCGGGAGACGTGGCGATGCTCAGGTTTGCCATATGACTTGTGTAGAGTATTGAACAGGGCGGAGGTGACAAGTGCACCAGGCCAGATCATGCTGCTGGGCCAGACAAGGAATTTGCGAAGAAGGCCACCCATAGAGAAGCCGATGAGCTGGGTTGAAAGAACGAGGCAAAGTTAATAGGAGGTAGAGAGGGTCTGGTTGTAGAAAACCTTCTGGGTCGCGATAATGTCGGTGGCGTAGGCACCGCTGACTACAACGTTTGCCATGACAGTGATGAGTACGTGCTCTTTGATGTGGTCCCGGGTTAAATGACCAAGTGTACCCCATGGTATCGAAGCGCGTGGTGGGGAGGAATCGCTCCATCGCTTTGCCAAGGGGCAGAGGTCAACTGAGCGACAATGCCGGTAATAATAATGGAAGGGTCTGAAAGCGACATCAGCAAGCGGAACCAAGATCGATAAGAAAATGTCAACTTACAGCGCATAGAGAAAAACTGGTTAAGAGCCAAGATGAGAATGGTATAGAAGATACCCAAGACCCACATGCGGAACGTATTGACGTGCATGGTGGGGTCATCAATGCTAGAAACAGCGGCGCGAACTTCAGGGTAAGGTGACTCGCTATCATACGGCTGTCAGCAGAGCACTAGCAAGACATCATGGGACTCACTCGTCATAGTCGAATGTTGAAGGTGTGGTGGTTCTCGAAGCAGTTGAGTAGCGCGTGCTAGACTCAATTCGGGACTCGGCATCAAAGTCTGAGGCACCGCCAGAGTACTCTGACATGGCTATCTTTTTATCCTCAAGCTCATGCACCTCAGTAGTGGAGGAGGTAGGAGATGGAAGTGAAGCATAGTAATCAAAGTTAGGGTCATTGAGATGCTCCATGAGAGAGTCGACATCCTCGGGAACATCGGGCACGCCTCTGGCGCGAAGGTTCTGAAGAGCGGGGATGTTCGTCGCACTGCTGTAAGCTTGAGCCTCCATGTCGAGACCGATGTAGGGGAGGGATAGCAGCGACAAGGGAGGAAGGCTCAGCAAATAGGTAGTGCAAGTACGGGGGGAGAATAAATTCCTGAAGATTGCATGAGATCTTGCGGCCTTTTGAGCGCGGAAGGAGTGTATGACCCGCATGAACGGAGGTTGATAAACGGTATACACAGGTTGCGAAGTAATGGGAGCGATGACAGAGGATGCGATGGTGGATGGTCCCGGTGTGGGTCTCGACTGATAAAATCTAAATATGAGTTGAAAATGGATGTACGATCAGAGCGAGGCTAGCCAGAAAAGTTGCCAGGTGTAGTCGGAGGAATGGCGCTCATAGTGCGTCGATTCAAGCGTGTTCAAATTGCGGCTTTAAACCACAAGTTATCAGGTTCTCGATCAAGGGAGTAAGACATATAGCACTTACTAGAACAAGGCAAGCTCAAATGCCTGAAACGTGCAATGAGCTCGCAAATCGTCACACAGTCCGTGTTAATACTTAACACGGGTCTGCTAGGTCGAGACGACCGAAATTCAACGGTATGTGTCGGCAGGTTCTTGAGTGCCCCCGCAAAAGTCCACGGCCAGGTTCGTCAATGAGTGTTGACAACATCAAAAGTATCAGAATGTTCGTGCGATGCCGGATATCGACATGAGGGAGCGATGATGTCGTAGCCGAGAGCAAGGTTCAAATTCTGCCAAGAAATCAGATGGCTGACGCCTCCTGATTAACTAGGCGAAACGTACCTGCAAGCACTGGGTTGCAGCGCCCTTGAGAAGATTGTCCAAGCCACCCTGATCCTAGTTAGCCACATGTCCTAGCATACAGGGAAGAAACACATACCACAACAACAGCTCGATCGCCTTCGCTGTAACTTGGAAACCTCCTACAGTCCAGCCGTGCTTATTCTCGATGTCCAACAATCCTGGAACACCCGCTTTGATGTGTACCAACTTCTCTTCACCATGTTTCTCTTCATACAGGGCCTGGACATCCCGTGCAGTAACCTTCTCGCTAAGTGGTATGGACAGTGTCGAGATGATACCGCTGAATCAAGGCGCGACTGAGAGTATGAAGGCGACTTTCATGGGGTTGGTGAGATCTGCGAGTAAACTGGTTAGGTGACGGCCTGATTTGCGCTCATGGATGTGGTCTGTGAGCAAATACGGACGGAAACCACCCGCGAGGCTGGTGTGACCTTGGGCACCGTTGTCGGTTTGCCGTCTGCGTCGCTGGTGCCAGTGACCGTACCAGCACCGCTGTACCCTGAGATGATGCCGAACACCGTAGGCGTATAGGAATGCTTTACGAATAGAATAGAATCTGTGATGGTGTCAGGGAGGTTTGCACATGTTCTACCAGTCTGGTAAGCTTGCATGAATTCCGAAGGCTCTTTTGTTGACGATACTCCGAGGTCATACTAGTACACTTGATTATACGAACACAAACAACCAACAACCAATTATCTACTGTGTGCATCATGATGTGTAAAGAGGTAGATATCGATGAAAACTCGGTAGTCCTAGTATATATCTGCTAATCTGGATGTCGTGAAACCCTTGAAATCGGACCATCTCTGCGATCGCTCTTGATCAGTATATATGTAGTCTCGTATGTAGTTTTTAAGTCGGATGTAAATGGCTTCGAAATTCTGAGCCGAAAACTCGATATAGACAAACCTCCCGCTTGAGAGCTCCTGTAAGACACAGTGCACCGCAGCAGCAGCGGTACAAAACAAGTTGTCTAGGTCTGTGACGTAGTCTCGGTACTTGAGTTCAGAGACCACGTCGAGAACCACATCCCAGACAACCTCGTGCTCAAACGGATGCAACTTGCCAGTCTCATCTTCCCCGAAAATGAACTTCAGGGGAAATTCTTTGTCGGATATGAGACTGTTAATTTTGAGTTGCTTCATCTCTGCTTCGGACGAAAGCGAGAAAGCTGAAGGGCGTAATTTGTACCCTCGTTCCACTTTGTGCCGCGCCAGCTTCTTGCACATGGCCATCACGAGCTTGGCGGGAGCTGAGAGCTTCATGTACAAGGAATCTGCATTCTCCGCCGTCCACTTCTTACTAAACTCTATGGACCCACAGCCATAAGGTCAGTAATCTTTCAAAAACGATTGCGACCTGCTTACGTTGAACTTCGCCGATCCGTTGAAGACGAACTTCGGCGTCTGGCTCATTGACACCCTCGAGACAGTGGGACGTCACCGCGCGAGTCAGCTCCTGACAAACAAGATCATCTCTTTCGAGAAGTCTCATTACGGCGGAGTTGTTGACGACTGCACTGACAATGCCTCTCTCCGCGGATTCGATGATCCGCCGGTGTCTTGAGTCCGTCTCGTCATACAACAGAGGCGGCAGTGTGAGAGGCGGCAGTGTGAGCGGCGGCGGTAGTATCAAGCCAGTAGCGGCTGGGTTAGAAGATTCGGACACTGCGGCAGCGGGCTGATTGGGACTCTCCAAGTGAGTTCCATGTACGAATTTTTAAATAACGAACATACCTGGGAAGAATTAACCTTTCGCCGCCGCTTTTGTGGCGGACCCGAACAATCAATAATCTGGAGTCCATGGGTTTTTTTCGAAGTTCGCCGATTTTTGGTTGCTGACGAACGGGGAGCATGTGTTGGCGCTGTGATGGACGGTATGTCCCCTGCTGCTGATGGCAGTGTTGACCTACCATCCATTGACTGCGCTGGCACAGGGAAATCCGGAAAATAATCGCCAACGTTTTGTGGTGGCTCGGGATCTGGACCCATGCCATGACCGAGATGGGCTTCTAAGCCATAGTAGGCGGCGCCCTGCCACATTTCCGGGAATGGCGAGTCGACAGGAGGAGGAGTCCGAGTCATGTAATGATGCAGTGGGTCATCATAGATATTGGGCGGCGGGGGAGAATCAAACTGTAAGTAGCCATCTTGAAAGATACTGGGATCGGGCGAATAAGGACCGCCAGGGATGGACTGGTCTGGGGTAAAGCGCGACGCAGCGTCGTGATCAGTTATCGTGTTCGGGGCTGGCAGTCCTGGATGGTAGCCAGTGGGCTGCATCGCGGACGGTGAGTGAACTTGAAGGCAGCCTTGCCAGCGGGATTAGGTTTATTTGAATGCATTTCGATTGAATGATAGATTTCTGCGATAGGAAACATTGGTTTACGAAAGTGCGACACTATAAGGTACAAGAAGAACTACTCCGAAGCATGAGGGCAATTCACATGAGGGCGCGTGTATTCTATTACATTGATTCCAAAAAAAGAACATCAGTTATCCGTGTTATCGCTGATTAAACCGTACTTACCACGTTGGCATCAGCTTGGACGGTGCCCTTCGCCGCACGACGTCTTAAAACATCTAGCTCAGCGTCAACATGATTGAGAGCCTTTTTGCTGTGTTCACTAGCTGCAGCGAGAGTTTGGGGATCTCCGATAGCAGCGGTCAAGTCTTCACGGTCAAGCAACACATTCAGTAGCCATTTGGATTCTTTCTCCGCCATTCGGAACTCCCCCTCTGCATCATTCGACAATGCAACCGAAAAAGTGTTCAGCCTGTTCGAGACCTCGACCCGCCATTGTCTGGTATAATATTCCATCCGCAGGCACTCACGAACCGCCTCCTTGAAATGAACAGCACAGCGGAAGGAATGGGCACTCATGCCATCTATGTAAGCTAAAAATGCCTCCTTAGACTACAAAATAAATATAATGAGCTGCACGAGTTCAGTATAGGGCTCACCGAGCGAGACATTGGCTCCAATGAATCATCGTCGTTGGTGTAGAGATGTCTGAGTATCATCCTCTCGAAGCGGTTATTATCTTCGAGAGAGAGCGGTGAGCGATAAGGATGGTACGCGTTACTGCTCAGCGTCCGATGAGCACGACTTGATCCAGCCCCAGGAGAGGAGGGAGACCGGACACGGTGTATGTGACTGGAATGTGTAGGGCTTGGCGTCTGAGGAAGATTATAATCCGCATCCGAGACCATACTTGTCCCTGAGTCTGTTATTTTATTAGTCTACAAAACATGATTCTCAGTGACATCAATAGTACCTGAGTTGGCTACTCTGATGGATGGGGGAGTGCTTGGAGGTGAATTTGAAGGAGGTGAGCTCAGTACAGGGAGATGTGAGTTTGGAGGAGGAGAGCTTGAGTCATGCCTGGAAGTGCTGACAACATGGGAATAGGGGTGTTGGAGCTTAGGTGTGGTCGACAAATGTAGAGCTTCAAGATCGCAGGCCTCAGTTACAGTAGCGGCTGGGTTCATTTTTCAACGGGGAGAAACTTGGTTGGGGGGCATACCGTGAGTGCATAAGCAATTAGTAATATAGGCGTCGGAGTTTTAAAATCCTTCGCTGAATTCAAGTTAGAAGATTCCTGATCCCTCTCGAATAAACTGAATTAATTGAGCAGTAGATTTATTTGACTCTATGCCTTTTATGAAGCTAGAAACTATCAGATGTGATTGGGCTGAAGCCACACTGACTCAGGTACTGGCATGTACTATGCCATGAGGAGTGGGTGTTTACAAAACCCTGAACCTCATGATCTGATGGCCCGAATTAACCAGACCCAATTTTGGTATGTGCTGGGTTTGAAAATCACTTATTACCATTTTTGGCATGTGCTCTATGGATGTTACTTGGTACGTATACGTGGCAAAGGTCTGTTTTCAAATAAGGTTGAAAAAATAAAGTATCAAATATTCAAACATGAGTATCTATTCAAATTTCTGCAAGTTAAGTGTAAAAACGAGTGACACTTCACTTGAAAGTGCCAATTGTTGAACGTTGAACTCCCAGCGAGATAGTACTTAGAAGTAGTCGAGCCCGCTGAGTGTGCCATTTTTCTCACCAAGTCACCTTGATCACAGCCACTCTACTAGCCTGCACCTAATATGGTATGACGTGCCTACTCTATCGTAATCACTATGTCGAGACTGGCAGCTACTTATAAGCGCTAGCGCTCACCAGTGGATCTCAGCGAATTTTTGAATGGTAACAGCCGCAGCTATGTCTTACTCTTCTCATCTTCATACAACTACTCAGCCCCCTTGGGCCACTGAAAAGACGGTCCAGGACTCCCTGTCAGCGGCACTGGCAGGTCTGAGTCCATGCAATTCTGCTGTGACTTGGACAGACCCCAAATTTGCAATGAACTCGCTGGAAGGCAGCACCACCCCTACCCTTTCCTGCACCTCCCAATATGCGGCAGCAGTTCAAAACAATGCGAGACCGCTTCTGCAGAATCAAGAAGTACTTACTATAACCTTTTACTGGCTGCGGCATGCTCACCGGCATCGTTTTTGGCAAGGTTCTATTTCTGAATGACGCACCAACCACCGTGACTGCCACAGTGAAGCGCATCTGCAGGGAGAAGACTGGTACTGACTGGCAGACAGTCCTCGATATTATCAAGTATGGCGAAGAAACACAAACCATGCACAACGAACTTCAGCGGCGCGATCACGAGGATGATGGGCAGGTTGGATAGGCTTTTGAGAAGATTTGGATTGCGAGAAAGGTGAAACAGCCTCAATCTATCGTTAACTAGCTAGACACAATCAAAATGATGAAAACGCACGATATTCAGTAGCGAAAACAGGCGATAAACATCAGATAAAATTCAGTATTGCAAATGGTCACAGTGCGAATATGTATTGCATATGCTGGAGGCTGACGTGCCTGCCACGAATGGCGGTATGAACACCTTAGGGTGGAGAGACCGAAGCGCCAACTTGAAGTGAGTCAATAGAAGGACTCCTGAACATCAGAGAGGAATATTACCTTTCTGCCCCTTGGCATCAGAGAACTGATGAGTTCTCGATATTGTAACCGTGGGAAGTATAGCACCGTATAATTTTGCTGTCGCGAAATATTATCTTTTATACTGTGGGCAAATTGAGTTGTACATACATACCCATGGATGCCTGCAAATCGAGCTTCACATGATCGACCTACGACAATGCTGTGAAATCCCTCCTTTGTAGCCGGTCGAGGAACGCTAGTATAATTATTCCAAATATTTTGTGCGTTCTCATTTTCCAACAGAAGTTCCCCCGAAGCTGCTGCTTAGGTTTGTGTTTGCTGGTAGCTCCACGACCGCTTATACTGCTAAAAAAAATCGCAGCTTCTCGCTCGCTCGTCGGACAGACTCAAGGTGTTCCGAATGCTCGAAATGCTTCGCAGCGTGACGGATGTGCACGTTAAGCTCCGTTGTCCGGTAATGACTGAGATAGTGGTGCTGAAGAGTCCAGACATGACAAATGGTAGTAAAGCCGTTGTATCTGGGAATGTAGGTGGCAGAGGTGGTGGCAGAGGAAAAGAAGTAGTCTGGTGACGTAGGTTGAAGTCCGTCACGGTGCGGAGAGTGTATTGAAATTTTGGGCAGACAAGCGGCCCGCCAGTGACTTGGGCCACTCGGAGTAGACTGGTGACCAGCCCGTCCATGAGGCAAAAGTCATAACTTCATACAAGGCAGTTGAACTCGAGATCGACCGACAATAAGTTACCGACTCGGAATGGGTACCTTTTGCGAAGGTCAGGGAAGTTGGCACACGTGATGTTTGGACTTGGACTCAGTCATTCTGTAAAGAGACCCTACGTTGATCAACGATCATGCACATGATGGGCTTCACGAACATCCACCAAGTGTTAAGTTAACCATCGCGATGGTCAAAAACTCCAAAACATACCATCAACTAGTCCTGCTACTAGTAGGTGCTGACCCCCACAATCGGACACCAGTGCAGATGACGACTCGGAGGAGAGCTGTCTCAAAAACTTGCTCTTTGGTGTCCCATACGCCGCTCCTGGGAAGGCTCGCAAGGAAATCGTTGTTGTGTTTGATGAGGAAGCAGAGGATGGGCAACTTGAAGTAGGAAGAGAGTTTGAAATGTTGCTTGACCCGGATGTAGTACTAGTACGTGCAGAATGACTGAAAATTTGATTTGATTGCTAGTATTCACGTCACTTGTAGCTTTTTTCGTAGATAATTGCCGCTGGATTGCCCCAGCGTGGCCAGGCTCCGCAAGACTACTATAGCTACGTACAGTCTAATCTGGTGACTCGAAGGAACTCATAACGCTGGATGTCGCCAAACTTTTCACGGGTACTCCACTCCACATGGTGCCGGGTTAGCGTACAACTCAAGGTCCGTTACACCTAGACATCATCCGAGTCTGTGCTCGTGCGTCCCACCCAAGATATTATGTGATGGCGTCGGGTAACATCAATACCCAAATAGGGTATCTCTCTTCAAGCGATTCCTGCTACCATTAATGGCATTCGCTTGTTAGGCAGTTAGCACCAATCTCCACAGCATATAAGACGTGAGCAGGTCAGTTCTATCCCAGTTCTATCCCGTATTTCCCTTACTCAACTTCATCAACCTGTTTCCTCCCTTCCCTCTGCTTTCATGCCGCACGAGGTGCAAAACGACGACCTGCTGCAGGACGATCGCAGTGACACGTCGCATGCTGAAGGTCGGCAAGGCCAAGATGACAGCCTTCCGAGCCAGCGGGAAACATCTAATGCAGCGGACGCATCTCTGCAGGCCCGACAGAGAAGGAGAATCGCACAACTGGAGGAGAAACTGGGGTCCCTCGAGGCGGGCCGTGCAGCTAAACAAAGGTGCGACTATTATTTCAGGCATCGAGCTGGCTTTTCTCACAACCTGTCAGGCAGACAAACTATTATATAGCTCAAGGAAGGGCGGTGAGGCGTGTGGTTGCTTTGTTCGATAACATCGAGGACCTTGTGGTCGAAAATGACCGAAGGTGCGACGCTGATGAGGATGCAGAAACTACCATCGAGTATGTTCTTCGCACCGGGTTCATGAGTGCCACTGATGGGCTTGTCTATATAGTCAAGATCGGCTGCAGGTAGGCTATGTCATCTTCACGCAGAACTTGCGGTGGTTTCATAAGGAGGCTACGGACATGGAGAATCACGACTACGTACAAATGTTGAAAATGGTTACTTTTCATCACATCCGTCAGCTTTCATGCTGAAGTATTTTCTCTAGCTTCGACAGGGCGCTGAGAGCGCTCGAGGAGACGATACCTCCAAGTTGAAGGGTCTCGTTTCCGAATGGGTCAATCGCGAATTTAAGCCCGATCCACCAGTCGACGCAGATGATAAAAATTTGCGTGGTTTCGCCAATGATGCTTGCGGCCGGCTGCTCTGCCCGGCTGAGCTAGATTGGAACAACCCAGCGTAGGTGGCACATTTAAATCCCTTGAAGAAGTACTCACCTTTCACCAGAGTAAAGTCGGGGATTCGAAATCGTTCGGATGGCCATATCGTCACGGATCTATCTTTTCCAGCATTCCTGTACGAAAGGTATACCGCCGATCCAAATGATTTGGAGGAGGGCCTCTTCAAGGGCAAGATTCTTCTTCAGGTATGTCGCTCAGGAGTCGCCCATGTGTGATCTCACGAGCATTTTCATTTTCAGGGCTATAAAGCCGTGTTTACATCGCCCTCCTCAGCCAAAGATACTGAAGGTGACGGTGATGGTGCTGATGTTATTCAGAACAACCGACATGCTAGAAGGTCTTCCTCTGGACTCAAGGTTAAGAAGCATGTTGCGCAAATCATCAAGTTGGAGAAGGTCACCCCTCGTTCGCTCGCATATATTGCGTGCCAGGTATGTGGTAGCACTTAGTGACATTGGCAGCAGCCCAGGCTGATCAAACGGACAGATCCGTTTCGCACTTTCTTCCGTTACCTCCTGGCGTTCCTTCGACGGTGACTTTGATTATGTCCAATTCTGGCGCACCATTGTAGACTTCTTCGAAAGGCCCCCCGGTCGAGATGCTCGGCGCCGAGTCGACAGGTTACTTGAATGGTGGACTAGGTGCGTCACTGACAGTTCCAACAACAAACTCTAGCTGAGCTCTCCTGTTAGGAAAGTGTTCGGACGGAGGTGCCGTCAAGAGCTGAGCGATGCAGCGAAGGCCAACATGTCAGTAAATTCCCTCGCAAGGCAAAGGGCAATGCGTGATGATGCTGCCTTCGATTCACCCTAAGACCTATCATTATTTTACTATCTTCCCAGTAGCGTTGTCATCAATATACCTTTCTGTTGATGTCATGACTTGATGCGTTGCTTGATATGACTAAAGTTAGACCGTCTGTGTGTGACCAAAAGTAGACACCCTCAAATGATCTCCTAGCGAAGTGATAATATTGATTTTGTGTGGACAACATTGTTACAACTATGAATTTTCTCAAACGCACAATTCACGCTGTAGATTGCACAGTCCTCTATTTCTTTTTGACAAACTGGATTTTTTTGCATTTTGCGCTGACAGCATATTACAACTATAAATGACCTCGAAGGCAGGATTAAAGCTGCATGGTAGCAATCACTCAATTCTGGCAAATCCCGGGCGAATGCACTATATCATAACGGTACAGTATTTGCGTCAAGCTACCGCCTCTTTTGGACAGTGGTGCAAGTGGAACACATCTCCCAGACATTAGATACGCACAGAAGGTTCCATGGATAGTCAAATCACATTATTAATTGATTGCCGCTCACTTGGTGAACACGTCCGGCTGATTCACAAAGGTAATACCCACTCACTCGGATTCACAAAAGTGATGCTCGCCCGCGTTGTTGGGACAATACAAACACTCAGTCTTGCATGGATCATCAACACGCAACTGAAGAAGATCAGCGTTTCAAAAAGATCATCGTCGACAGTGACAGGTCAGCAATCATTAAAGTAGAGCGGAACAACGTCGTGGCAAAACATAATATTCCCTGATAATAATTTTATCGTTAGACGGAGGAGCTAAGCTACGAAGATTGTGAACGCCCGCACACAGAATTCCTCTCGTACGGCGCAAAAACACACCATGATGCTGATCGGCGTGGCGCAACACCTGAGGTCCTTGTCGAATGTTAAGTGAGGTACCCAGGCAAACCATTACTCACTGCTTTCAACTCTCACACCAAGGTACTACACCATAAAGGTACTGCCGGTCTGCGCAGTGCTATGACCTCTTTGGGACGTATCGCGACTGAATACGACTGTCGAGTTATGATGCAGCGTAACATAAAGCCCTTGAGTAGCAAGCAGTATCTGAGTGCGAGGCATGACCCTTTGCTCTAAAGATCTCTACTAAGCTAGTGTGCAACAACTAAGCAGTATCAGTGCATAGGTATGACTTCTTGGGGTGTGATCGCGAGCGGTGTACCGCCGTAAGTTGTTACTCAACTAAATCAGATCGCCTCAGGTCTCCAAGCATGGTAATGAATGAATTATTTTCCAATTAATAAACACACTGTCGAGTTATGACGCAGCGTAACATAAAGCCCTTGAGTAGCAAGCAGTATCTGAGTGCGAGGCATGACCCTTTGCTCTAAAGTTCTCTGCTAAGCTACTGTGCAACAACTAAGCAGTATCAATGCATAGGTATGACTTCTTGGAGTGCGATCGCGAGCGGTGTACCGCTGTCAGTTGTTACTCAACTAAATCAGATCGCCTAAGGTCTCCAAGCATGGTATAAATGAATTATTTTCCAATTAATAAACACGTGCTGCGCTGCTGCAAAATGTGCGGCATGTTCACACAAATTTCCAACTGATATATAGCTCGCAATCATCACCCGTGTGAATACGACAACCTTGATAGCTAAAGTAGGGTTCAAATTTAGGTCTGCTGGCCTGGCGGACATGCTCCGGCCTTCTGGAAGACGTTGGCCTTAGCTCTTAGTTTCAAAAATATTGACCTTATTTCTAAGGTGGCAGCGCTGATTCATTTAGACTTACCACCAACTTGTGCTCCACCTCTCCTCCAAGTTTGATTGTGAGTGATATCACAGCATTATTCGCATCATAAACCTCTGTAGGACAATCACGAAGTGTATCTGCCTCTACAAGGCCAAAAATGACAATGTAATCACCCATAGCAGAATTATGATGATTCTTGTTATTTTGAACTATATATCGTTATATATGCTCTTATCAAAACTTCACCGGTTCACTGATGTTCGGCCAGCTGTGGCCTTGAGTAAGTTACGAGTTGTCGGAACTTTTTTTATGGCATTTTAATCTATTAAAATGGCCTAACGACACGGGCCCATTATGATATATTCTAAGATAACAGTCAGCATTTTCATGAGCATTACCACGCTATTTTTATGCACATTGAAATGGGCATTTTAATGGTACGCACCAAGTGTCAGTGCGCATTTCAATGGTAACCACCGAGTGTTAGTGCGCATTTCAATGGTAACCCACCAAGTATTAATGTACATTTAAATGGTACCCACTGAGTGTAAATGGGCATCCCGGTGGTATCAATGTGCATTTTAAGGTTATCAACCAAATTTTAATGCTCATTCTAACGTGACAAATTTATTTGACAATGATGCGAAGCCTGCATTGCAATCAGATTGTACTAGTTGTGATACTAATACAAAGCATGTATATAACTATGGAATACGACAAATCATGTGTGACGAGAGGAGCGACGTGTAGCGGCGGAATCATTGGTTGACTTGGTTTTTTTCCTGCCCTTAGACTTGGGTACCTGCTCCTGAGATTCGGTAGCCAAAGTCTCTGCGTGAAGTGCCGTAGGAGTTGGGAGACATGGAGTTGGGGGACATGGAGTTGGCTGTGGGTCAGGATTACTGTTAACGACAGGTGCCACAACCTCTAGTTGAAGAGTGTTGGCGTTGGTGGGCATGGCTGCCACACTGGTAGGTCCAGAGGTTGCAGCAGAACGGTGCGTGTCTTCATTAGCGTGGACTGGAAGGTCGACATATTCCAATGATTCCGAGTCTGAATCACTGGCGTCAAGCGCCGCCATAACGCGATCGAGTGATTCAGTGACATCCTCCATGGTGCACAGAGCATCATCGGATGGCTGCATCTTCGCAAAACCATCGAAGACGTACCCGTTGATTTGGTCGATGATGGATTTGATGCGCTGATGGGTCCACTTGACGACGAAGAACTTCTTGACTGTCCGAAAGATGGAGTGATATGCGATCGAGGAAATAGCGCCAACACCATTGCCTGAAAACTCCTGATCTGGGGATAGGATAAATATAGTCTACAGCGTGTGATGAGTATTGTACATTTAGAGTATGAAAATCTTACTGATGTGACACCAAATGCGATCAGCCCAGGAGTGCAGTTCGTGAGTTGCCATATTTTGGCGTAGGAAGGTGGTCCACCGCGTGCTTTGGGATACAATGACATCTTTCCGCATATTGCAACCTTGATGACCTTTAAAATAAGGTATGAGCAGTGAGGTCTGTCATCGAAAACTAGAACTTACCTTCGCAATGACGATCCAGTTTCTGAAAATTTTCTTCTCATTTACGATGTGATCAGGGTAAAGTATGGGCGCCTTGAAGATATCATATACATTTCCCTTGCCCGCTTCCCATCCAATTAAGCCCGTGACCTGCGGAAGTGAAGTACGGTCGTATTTTGACACGAAGAATTCATTTGGCATATCGAATATACCACCTGCAACGGTGCGCAGGCTGTTTAGAAATGAAGAACGAGCTTGCTGCATTCCACTACCAAACTATTCGAGGCTTTAGTTAATAAAATGGCTTGAGATATTAGTAAGAACTACGCACCTGGTTGAAGAACATGTTTGTTCGCATCCGAGCATGCAACACGTGGTCAATGGATGCGTAGAGTTCAGCGACGAGAGCATCCTTTTCTGTAGACTTCTTCGCATAACGATTTGGGGCCGAGAAGTCGGCTGGAGGATCAGGACAGTCCGTTTGAAAAATGACTTTGTCGGGGAGAAACATCTCAGTAGTCAAAGCATACTTCTTTGCCAAACCTAAAATAAGTTTGTCGATCTCATTGGTCTTCGATGAATCAGAAGTGACAGAGGTCGCAGCGGATTCGGGTGTGGACGATGTCACAGATGCTGATTGAGACATTGATGATGTTCTAGGTGATGACAATTGAGGGCGTTTGCGAGAACGCTTCAGCTGTTGCGCAGCGAGAACATTGTTGCTCTCATTCAGAGACGCATTCCGCTGCTGGAGCTGCCCATGTTGAAGCTGTAGATATTTGATGTACTATTAGATAGAGTGCATTAGTGATATTTAGAACAGATATGAACAGAAGCAAGAGCGTACCTCTTGGTAGTGCTCAACAGAAGCACCTCTGCTCGGTGGAGCCACAGGCCGTCGGATGCCTTCATCCTCCGATTCAGAGCCTGATTCAGAGCCTGAATGAGATAGAGTCATCGAGTTAGAATCAGAGTTAGACATTGATGATTCAAATGGCAAATCTGAGAGGGTAGGTTGCAGGGCACCGAGTCAAAGCCATCTCACAGTCGATGTCATTTTATAATGCGGTCGCAAAGTTGGTGTAACAGAAGGGACACTAATAAATTATGCTTACTAATTTATTGCGCCAGAAGGAGTATGAGTCATTGAGGTCATGAGGCTGTAACCGAAAAAGTAAGTCAAATTGAATGGTCCAGGTAAAGACGTACATTGCAGCACGATGGTACACATTGCGAGCCTACACAATAACATGCGGACAGATCAAATCTTGTGATTCAGAGACAGAATAAGGTGACTTACGTCTGTAAAACTGTGAACGTAAATTGACACGAGGTTGTTGAACGAGGACTCTTCAAGTTGCTTTGTATGGTCCAGGTGAAGCGAAAATTAAGGGCACACTGGTATGCACACAATCGACATAATGGCTCAGAGTGTAATAAGCTGCGGAAGGGGTGAGAAGTATTGATGGGTTATTAGCCAATAATGAACGCAAACAGCCAGAGAGAAACTCACCATTTCAGTAGTGGACCACTGAGAACGTGTTCACAAAGGTCTGGTTCGAATACTCGAACCCCTCATTTTAATGGTGATGTCTGTGGGAGAGAGGTGGCTGCGCTCAAAAGCTTGCGTCTTTACCCACCCAAGAGGCTCGAGATCCTTGAGGCTTGAGGAGGAAGTCGTTGGCTGTTGAGGTAAGGCTCCATAGGCTCAGAAGAGTACAACTGAAGACCCTTGCGGATATGCTTGCACAAGACATGACATGCCGGATTGGCCTTCATGATCTTGGCCATGGCCTGCTGGATCAGAGGTTTCATACCAGGGAATCAGTTGCGACACACAGACCATCAATTATGCGCCACTCTGAATCAGTGTGATGTAATGACTTGGTCTGCTAGCTATATAAACAATCAGTGATCGGCAAAGTGAGTGATGGTGATGAATGAACTTCTGAGGAGACCCCTGTGTGACTGCAAGTAAAAATTACGAACTGTGGGATTGCCCACTCCCAGGTCGGCGATGAATCCTGCAGGGCCGTTCCCAGACTTGTCCGTTTCATTCCTATACATATGTTCAATAATCATGTAGATACAGAGGTAGTAACTGAGAGACATACCTGTTCTTCGGGAAGAATCGGACCACTTACGGTCTACTTACGGTCTGAGAATCCCCGCCAGACAATGGAAGCTCATGCAATGAGTAGATGATGACGGCCCCATCGTAGACGCAGCATGAACAGTTGGGGGTTTGTGTGGTTTTGGAGTTATTCAAAGACCTCGATCCTCCTGCGAGGATGCTTGATATTTCTCCCACAACCAGAGTTCGCTATATACATGTGTCAGACGCCAACATTGGCCTCTGGGGCACAAGCACTCACAAACTACTGTATAAAGTTCAACCGCTGTGTCACGGTACCAAGAGTGGAGGCTTACCTATTGAAAATATCGGCCTTTTGGTACTTTAGAATCTAGATATGACAAACGAGTTTATGAAAACTTGTTAGGGGGTGGGGTGCCCTTGCCTCAATTAGACATTTGAGTGGGATTATGCGTGATAAGACTCGGCGGGACTCAACTGGAGACTGTTAGCACAGGAGGTAGAATATACACTAGAGCCATGCCGATCATGACATCAGTTGGCGAGGGGCAGATACTCATGGAGTCGGAAACGTAGTCCAGGAACTTGGCACGAGTGTATCGCTCAAATATCATGAGTGTTGAAAATCACCCCAATGAAGCTGAATGTCGGTCGTATCATCCAAAATGTCATTGTTCTAAAAGAAACACATATGTAGATAAAATTCCAAAAAGGTATGAAAGGTGACCTACATCTGTAATCAGTGAAGGCCGAGAGATGGGGTGAATAGTCTCCTTTTGCACCGTCTCGATCTGGAGTGACTCTAGCTCCTGGTCAAAGACCTGACACAAGTCCATAACCACACTTTCGTGAATCTTCTGCCACAAATGCGCACGCCGCACGGAAGATTTGGATCAGTGAGATTTTAAGGGCAGGGATCTTGCTGTGCATGAAAACACCTGCCAGATCAAGCTGGACCTAGAAACCGGCACACATTGGCACGGTTGATTGTTGGACTCCACCAAAGCGTGAACCAGTGGTTGGGAATCTGGTTAAGACCTGACCTCTGCGTGTTGGTAAGTTTCTTGTATCACATCCGTGTGTTGGGGTCGGAGTGGGGAGAAGGAAGGCGTTGCACTGAGAGGTATGTGTCAACTAGGGGGTGATAGAATGGAGGATGTTTCACCCACCATAGGACACCGCACCCACCAGATTGTACGCCTTTGCGATGTCTCGTGGCTGCAAGAATTGTATGACGACCAATACTCAGGAGTGGTTTGTCTTGACACCGCACCCTGTCGTCTTCATCCAGGAGTAGTGATTGCGGGCGGGGAGGGGGGTCACAGTTCCAGTCTCTATCTGTGTCCTTTGCAGACACACCAACATGTTTCTTCTCCTGCAAAATCACTAAAGGCGCTGAGAAAGACGCTGAGCTTGGAAAGACTTGTGACTGCGTCTGTCTCTGCATCCCAGAAATCACACCGACAGGAATGGTATCTGTACAATGCAATCGAGCTGTGCTAGCATTGCTATAGCCACCCACATTTGCATTGGTAGACCCTGGTTTTCCCTTATTTTGGGGGGCGCCCGCGACGGGAGGGGCAAAAATGTGGGTTTGATAGGTCCTGAGTTTGCCAGGTTGATCTAATGGACCTACTGGGATACCCCTGGACTGGTGGGCAGCCAATTTGGCACGGGGAGACTGGCTGTTGGTCATGGGCATTCAGAGTGCTCCTTTCATCAGTGGTAGTGTCAAGGAGGAGGTCCTCGATGTATGACGGACACTGGATCGGCTGCTGGATCTGGAGTGAGATTTATGAGTAGGACCAATCGTGAGGTGATGTTGAATTCGAGGAAGCTGTTGGGGGCGGGGGTCAATTTCAGAAATGCGATCGCGTGACATGGATGTAGCCTGGAGAATGTGAGAAGATAAAAAGGTAGTATGAGAGGGAACTTACAGAGAGTGGAGGCCTGTGGTCATATTCGCCACGGTCATTGCGAGGTTGTTTGGAAGGTGGCTGGAGGGGTGCAATGAGATAAGATGTGTCATCGAAGCTGCCTGAGCGAGGACGGACACCACGAGTGGATGGGGGAGGAGGGAGGGGGCCTGGAGGGAGAGCAGCAGAACTGAGGGATGATGAAGTGTAGCGATGGTGAGATCGATGGTATGGATGTGGTGGGGGTTCTACGGTGATACTAGGATTCGCAGAGTAGGGGCTGTGATCGTGCTGGATTTGATTTGGGATGGGTGTCAAAACGAGATGGTCACCTGCTGAAGGACCAGCATGTAAATAATAGCTCGGTGCAAGTGAAGGATGAGGAGACCAAAACATACTAGTGATGAGAATGGCCTGGTCATAACAATTGAGCTTGGAGAGCCTTGACTCGAAGGAAAATGTCAGTGTCCACAGTGTGGATGACAAAGTAATCTCCAGGTGTTTCGGGATCGCTGGCAAGAGCAGCGCCCCGAACGATTGACCGGACAGAAATGATCTCGGAGGATGAGCGAGGTTTGGCTCGCACACGCCACACTCCGATATCATCATCTCGTCTTCGACGGCTACTGGCAATACCAACATCGTAGGGATGTATAAGGGCGAGAGGGAAATCAGCGCCGCCGATCGAGCAGCTGAACATGTATACAAGGCGAGCGAAAAACGGCTTGTCTGCAGTTTTCACCATGACACAGTCGTACCTTGGCGATCCATAGAATTGTGGGTTGCACCGAAGCAAGTCTCGGTGCAGGCGCCAGTCAACCATTGATTCATAGTTTATGCGCAAGAACCGAAACTCTGTAATCTGATAGAAAATATCAGTACTGTCAATTGGGTGAGGTAAATTAACATACCATATCCTCTGCGCGTAGGTGAATGCGCCTTCCGTCTGGCAGGGGAATATTGTTTTGTGGCAAGAAACCATTCAGGAAGCCGTTAAGCTTCATCCGAAAGTCGGCAAAAGCCCTGTCGGTCCCATGGGAGTGCATGATGTCCGAAAACGAGTGATTGCCTTGCTTTGAACCTAAATGTGCATGTATAGTCCCTGGCTCGGGGATTCCAGTGTCGTCCAGGGCTTCGTTGGTCTCGGGATCACGAGTGTCTCGTTGATTGTACTCGTCAAGTTCATCAAGTTCGGTGCGCATAGACGTTGAGGTCAGAAGCCATTCATCATAGCGCAGGATCTATAATTGGTTAGACTGAGCTTGTGAGACGATATAGGCGACGAACCTGAGAAGCAACGTTCTTGAAGTTTGTGCGTTGAAGGTAAATTTTTCGCAAAGAGCCGTGCATTTTCTCATTCGGCTTCGTGTTGTAGTTACGTGTCGCACCTTTAGCCAAAATATCGTCGAATACGTGCGAGATCAAGTGCTTCTTTGGAAAGTTCCAATTTTTGAAGGTTTCTGGCTGCGATTCGGTAATGTATTCCTGTCAATAATGAAACATCAATCATCAACGACAATATCTGAACAAATACGGTGACTTACCTCCATCACTTCTGAGAATTTTTGCAGGGCAAACCTTCCTGCCGAAATTGTATCTTCTGTTTGGACTTCAAACGAAGTGTACATATCGAGCTCCACGTAGTAGCGGATGCATCGTAGTAGTAGGTGTCCCAGTTTACAGCAGGACGGGTGGAGAATATCCTGCGCTGCAAATATAATCATCTAAGTTCGTGTTAGTGCCGCAAATCACGCTATAATGTATAGACGCACCTTTGATAGATCCCCAAGAACAGTACCGTCATTGAAATCCACCGCCATGACCGATGAAAAATGGGTCAGATTAGGCCATCGTGGCAGCGCATCGAAGCTGAGGCCACAAGTCAGTGCTAGCATCAATACATTGTAGTACCAATACATACTTTGTGTCGAGTTTAACGGCTGCCTGCCGCCCGAGGTCCGAAATCCAAAATTTTACTTCATTCCACAGATGGTCGCCCCACAGTCCTTCTTCGTATGTATGCAGACGGTCGACAGAGAGAGCGCGATGAACATCTGTGTAAAGAATCCTCCAAAAGACATTCTAACAATTCAATGACATAATGAGCGTGTCCATAGATATCATAAAAACAGCACAATACCTCAACATTTCGGAGTGAGAAAGCCTTTAGCTGATCCTCCTTTTCCTTCTCAGAAGGCCTCGATCTTGCAGTATGGAGGGTGTCTTTAGATTGGCGACTTGTGCGCAGCTCGTGGGGACGGAGAACAGACTGCTCATCCTGCGGAACCAAACACACTGGACACGGGAATTTTCCCTTAAGTCCACGGATCAACGCCATGACGCATCTGCAATGTGACGTCAGCCTCGCGATACAGTATACATAGCAAACTAATGTAGACTTACTGTTCTTCGTAATCGGCGCTCAAGATCAAAATAAGGGGCCAGAGATGACGCTGGATGCCATCCCCACATTCAAACCAATATCCCGTTGTTGAGAGCTTCGCGACCGAGGCGAGAAGCTGGTAGAAGGAGGTATGCCACACGGCATTCTTAAAGTCTACGTAGTTCTTCTTTTTCGCGTGCTCCTGATTTTCAACAATCTGAATCAACAATATAATCAGCGATGCTACTAACAAAACAAGCGCCTGATACACCAACAATCGGCAACCAACCAACGACGCGGCCGCCTCCGAGGGCAGTATTACCATTTCGAATATGAACGGGCAGGTTGGCAATGCGGGCGATAATCGGATAGCCTTTTTGGCTCCCAAAAGATGACAATTTACTCTTGTCCGCGTAGAGGATGAAGGCCAGCGGTTTGGCATTCGGGGGGAGCTGCGACTAGTTACAACAGTGGTGATATACTATTAATGTACATAAACAACAGAATCAAGCTTCAATACATACTTGTGCGCTCCAAAAGGCATCAGCAGTCCATGGTTCATCGATGAAGCGGACAAACCTCTCTCCGTTAAATTTTGAAAGACGTTGAGCATCGAACACGAAGTGAGGTGCAAGACGTCTGTCTTGCAACAAGTCAAGCGCCCAATCCCAGAGAGGGCGGTAATGCATCTCGAATTCGTACACCTCTTGTCCATGAGGAACGGACACTTTATCATTCTGAAACTGCGCACGATGCAATCAGCTTATTATAATGATTAGTTGTAGTTGCACAATATATATTACTTACTTTGGTATAGCGCTGTGAAGCAAGCTCCCACAGCGAGCGAACTTCGTCGTGATTTTGCAGCGTGAAGGAATCATTGCCGCTGGCAGACCGATGGACGAGATCAAGGAGTCGATTGGTCTGATCCTTCGTCATGGCAGCTTCGAGTGCAATCTCTGCAATCTCGAAATCAAGCCGTGTGCGAAAGGGCTCCCATGGTGAGTTGTTACGAGGTACATAATCCTCCGTCGGGCAGCTACGGGAGAACTCGGAGAAGCGATGTGTAGTGGAAGGGAGTTGGCTGTGAGGATGGTATTCAACTCGAATATCGTCGAGCTCCTGAGCCGGTTCATTGGGACCGTGATCAGCATTGTCGAAGTCAGGACCGGCATTGTGGGAGTCGGATAATGCTACGTCGTGGTCTATTGGTGGGAGTTGTCGAGGTGACGACCTTTGCATATTAACATCTGACAGGCAGCACAAAGTGTTAGTACATTGTGAATGAAATTGAATTAAATATACCATTGTCTGGTGCCCAGATAGCAGTGGCGTCCGCTATATCATGACTAGTATAAAAAGTGCAGCACAATCATAAAAAACATAAGCGCTCACCTGCAGCAGACGACTGCGCATCCTCAAAACGTCGTAGATTATTGCGCACTATGCGACGCTGCTTTCGAAGCTCTGTTGAACAATTGTCATCAATCTATGAAGCACATCAGACAACTGATTGGAGCGCCTACCCTTCTTTTCAGCTTTCCGAACCATATCAGCATATGCTGCGTCTTCCAGCCGTTCCTGTTCTTTCTTTGCGCAAGACTTTGAATGAGATACTAACCCACGTGAGCGGACATTTGCCCCGCATCGATCGCATGTCACAAGGTCGGATGTTCTTTGTTTCGACTTAGGCATTATGGGGAACGAGAGAGTATGAGTAGCAGATGAACGAGTGTTGATCGAACGTTGATCGATCGGTTCTATTATTAACGTATCGAAGGCTAGCACGGATCAGAATCACATCAGAACTTGCATCAGAACGACATTAAAACTCCGCCTAGGGCATCATAATCAGGTCAAAATTATTTTGAGGCACATCAAAACACGTGACCATTATGATGCCGGTAAAAGATCTCCGACAGTTCAAGTACAAACATTGTGCAACAATCGATTATGTAAGAAGAACACAAATCATTCGTCCTCCGAGCTTCCAAGGCAGACCTGTAGTCACCAATCGAAGGAAAATTAACTCACGACCTTTCAAGACAAGAGAATTTTTCTGCATATGCTAGTAAGCATGTCTTTCAGGCATTGTCGGTGGTGTATTTCCATGTTCAGACTCATTGGCCAGTGTTGATCGATCAGCAGCCAGATCGATCCGTTCATGCCTGAACCCCTTGTGAGTACCAAACAATCGTTGTGTACATTCATGGCAGTTTTTTAGACATAAGGAGCTCACTTGGGTGATTATTCACAAACTACGATTTCTACAATGTGTTACGCCGCTGTCACGGTAGTGACTACCGACGGCAGCGAGTACGCATGTTCTTCCAGGATATTTGAGATATGAACATGCACACCAAGTTTCTGACTCGCCTCTTAAAAATTCATATCAACTTCAGCGTGGTACCCGTCTCTCTGGGCCATCGATCGAGCACACCAATAGAACTCGAATTATCTCATAGTAGCACACAACTTCCTGTGCATAAGGTCAGACATTATATTTGTAGAGAGGACGTTGGACTCACTTCCAATATTCCTTAGGAACGGGGCACATTTTTGGACCTTGACTTGTATCTCCAATCAACATTTTCCACATTCAAGCTTGTGGTCATGTCTGTGGCTGAGCTTGTGGTGGTGATCGTGGCTGCGCTTGTGGTAGTGATTGTGGCTGCACTTGTATCAGCCTCTTGATTGTGTAGTGCGGGTACATGTGTGGTATCTAACGGTTGAGCGCCGTATACTTATTACTACCCACAGTACTAGCGCCTATTACTCACGCTGTCGCTCACTCTCCACCACCATCATTTTTGCTCTCACAGTCGCATCTAGGGAGGCATCATGGTACAATACAAGCGGTCTTGGCACCATCAAGACTTTCACATGGAACCTGTACGACGGCATCATGATGATATTTCCTGTGTCATTGGCAGCTATGGTATAGCGCCAGTGCCAAAAACCGGTGTGCCATCCAATGTATTGATACACAGGGTCACAACCTTAAAGAGAGCAGAATGAACAGACTTACTCTCTCAACTTCACTATGACCCTTCTAACCGTGGCTATCCTGTCATGCATCCCGTTTGTCTGTGCCTCACTACCCAGCCTCAATGGTACAAGCATCCCCACACTCGATGTCATCAGCTCTCCATCCTACAGTTACACCAGATCCTTGTGGAATATCATCTGGAGCTGTTGCTTGACTATATTCGCATGTACATGGACTTCAATCCATCCGAACATTCCGGGTATAAACGAGAGCAAAGTTGCCAAAATTACTCGTCGTATATTACTCATGGGGCTCGCAATGGCTGCCCCAGAACTCGTGGTCACCTGGGCTTTGCGGCAATTTTTTAGTGCTCGTAAAGCTGCAAAGGAGGTTACAGGTAGGCCACATGCTTGGACTATATAAGTTGGCACTCAACCGATGAGTCTTCACAGGATGGGGAATGACCCATGGGTTCTTCGCATGGATGGGTGGATTCATTCTCTACGTCAATGGTTCGCCACGGGCCACTCTTACACCTGATGAACTCCTGCGGTTCGTTCGTGAGGGATCCGTCGACATGCCTGTCATCACAGAGGCAGATATAGATGATAAAAGTAAGGATGACGGACTATCTAAAGGCGTCACCATTCTTCAACTGGCGTGGTTCGTCACCCAGCTCGCCGCCCGTTATCGCCAGAAGCTTCCGATCACCCTGATTGAAATCGACACCCTGTCCGTAGCTGCTCTGACCTGCATTTTCTATCTCTTGTGGTGGAAAAAGCCCAAGGATGTAGGACTTCCTTACGCCGTTCATTGGAAGGGAGCCACATCACCCAGCGACTTAACCTACGAGTACGTTATCAATACTTCTGTCCCGAGATCGCTCTGTTTAGCCTATATTCTAGCAAGTCATTTTCACCTTTGGAAGTTATGGTACATCCCCTTGAGAGTCTTATGGGAAATCAGGTCCTCATTTCTGCCTGGGCTGTCCGTTCTCGTCGTGTTCCATCTCTAGGTGGCTATGGCGAGTCTCATGCTGTGGTCACACTTCTCATTGGATGCACCTGTGGGATGGTGTTCGGAGGGATACATTATCTGGGATGGGACTACCCGTTTTTACAACAGAGGAATTGGCGCGTGTTTGCCGTTTGGATAACATTTATGCCGATAATCTTTCTTCTTACTATTGGGTATGAAATGTGGCGGGGCGACAGCAATGTGAGTCGTAAAAAGAAGATGACAACGATGATTGCAGTTTTCATCGTCATGATGTATTTTGTTGGACGGGTTGCACTAATTGTCTATACGATACAGAGCTTACGATCACTGCCTCCAGCTGGTATATATGATACAGTATCTTGGACTGAGTATATTCCACACTTGTAGTTTTATTACATTGCCGTGACGGAATATGATAACTTATATGTAGCGCACCAGTCACCTCATTCTGCAACCTGTTGATCCGGCGTGAGCATGCGCAAAAGCGGTCTGGGATAGAAGTTGGCTTGGTTGTTACCGCGTGCCATCCCTCCCGGTAAAAAAATTGTGAGTCACTCACTTTAAAGACCAGAAAGTCGAGGGCTATGTTTGTGCTCGGGCCGGTTCTTCAAAACATACGGATTCGAACATCAAATGATACCCTACTTGTTGTCAGGGTTCCATAACGGCGTAGTGCGACAGGAAGAATGACTGCAGTCTCAGCAGCAGCCGCCCGCCATAATGTACCCTAGCTAGTCGATAAACTCAACATGCGCTCGAGTAGGTATACCTATCAATACACGCACTCCAGTGTATGTTGAGTTTGAAGGACTGAGCTTCAGAAACCGCGTCACGAGCTCAGGAGCGGGAAGCATGTACTGACCACCCAATCTCCACCAGCGGGATCTGGAGTAATAAGATATAAAAACAAATGAAAGCTTCGGGAGGGACATCTTGATTAATAAGGAGTGCATACCAGACGATGTTATATGTCATAGAACTCCATCTTGGATATTTACGCCACTCGAAATGGAGCGTTCTGTTCGCGCGCTGGCCTGCTAGGCTCCGGCTCTGTAGGCTTCCTATGAGACGTCAAAAGCAATCATGAGCATTGTATGATTATCATCAGTAGGCAATGGGGCGTAATTATCTACTTACATTCTTCGACTTCCTCCATTTGTTTTTCGAAGCGCTCGGGTCGGCGATTTGATGATTCTAAATATATAGCATGCTGTGCAAAGGGATCAAGAGGTTCAGCACACAGGCGTTAGGCTACAACTGCTCGCATGATGGCAAGAATATATTCGTGACATGTAGACAATGACAGCTAATACCGAATCGAACCTGCGTAAATCGAACTTCTTGACAAGTGACATGGCGCGAGTTTTTCCCCTGTCGACCTCGCGCTTCAGCAACCGACATGATAGTGCAACCTGCTCATACCTGGAAAGACTTTCGGCATACCGCCTTCACTATATTTCACCACGGCACACCGAATGTTCTCTGACGCAAGATCATTGCAGGAGCAACAATGCCTACGCTCGAGCTTTATGGGTAGCAAGGCATCTGTAAATTAGAAGTCAATCTGACACTTAACACACATGGACATACTCTTGGCTTTGATAAGAGCATCATCGGTACAACGAAGCTGATTTCAGATCGTCATATATGGCGTCTGCGGAAAGCGCGGTGCCTTTCAGTCATGTAATGGGTCATACAAGCGAAACGAATAGTAACGTACCAGTCAGGATGGCCGCAGGCGCTTTCCAGAAGGTGCGAGACTAGCGTAGAAAATTTAAGCGCTCTAACTGACGAGGCTTCATTATGTGGCGTTGTGCGGGAGAGTGGTTCAGGGATTGGCAGCATCCCATAGACGAGGAGCATGGTTTGTTTAGCCCTTGGACAGAGCACATGAGTCAGCCGTCGCAGCTTCGATGGGATGTGGATGTTTGCGTTGCTGATGTAGTGGTTAGATGCTCTGGGTGGAGACTATCGGGAGATTTGGCGCATATAGGCCGAGGATGCGCTAGAGGGCTAGATATATGCACCGTATCACTTAGAAAGCAGGATGGACGCACGCTGTCCCATATATTTTGGACATTCAGAGAGGATATATGCGCTTCATCACCCTCTAGAGACACTCCTGGGAGGTAGATGAAAACCTGTGAACGACTCCGTGAGGTTCGCAGCTGACTTAAACAGCTCGTTTGTGTCGGGCACCGCTACTTTACATGTATATGTCCAGAAGACGCACCACAAGCCGACGAAAGCGGCGATGCCAGAAATTTTCATTTCATTTCGGTTCTATTAACTGTTGTATTAAGTTTGGGGGCATAGGTGAGGGAAGAAAAGAGAAGCGACAATGCACGTTGCAAAGACATCGCCACGATATCCCGCGATCTCTGTTAAGCAGGCTCGCGATGTGCGTTAGAAGTTGGAGCTGTTCTCTGCAGAATGTGATGCGTTGAAAACAATTGTGGAGGTGGACTAAGGGCGAGGATATGTGGGTCGATCCATATTCAACAATGAATCGCGTCAGAAGCGGCACAAGACCAGTCAGCCAAATGGAAATCCTAAGCGCAAATCGAGGGAATAATAACCCGAGGACATTCGTGTGCAGTGAGCCGTATATTAGAAGGAGACGTGTCGATCCAGCATGAACTTGGGGCAAAAACAGTTAGAAGTCAATCAAGCACCAAAGCAGAAGAGAACCAGTGCCGTGTCAGCAGGTCTTCGGACGTTGCCGGTGGTCCAAAATTTTCATGTTGGAGTCTTCTGACTTGATCTGACCAGCACACTCGTCACTAAACAACTTCAGTCGTGTTTTCATTACTGAGCTCCTCGTGTGTACGTACGTCGTACATTATAAGGCCAATTGGTAATCACAAGCATCTTCTGACTTAGATTCCAGGTCACGGCTTCTGCCACTCAGCATAGTAATAACGTTCTCTTCGGACCATTCTCTTGATGCTCTCAGCTTTAGAGCCTCATCAGGGACGCAGATCCTGTTTCTTTGCTGCGTGTGTTGTCCTTGTAGTGCCCAACGGAGGTAGCGAGTATGCAAGTCTTATTTGTTCCTGAAGATGGAACAGAATATACATGCATACTCGCTGCATTTCTGACTCGCTTCTTACGACATTCATTGTAATAAATCTGCCTTGGAAAACTGATCAGTGCGTCTCTTCTAGGTAATGGTTCTAGCTCCCCGCAGCAATTGAATGGATCAGGCCGCACATGACCGCCTCGTGTTTCAAGCCGTCTTATCTTTGATTCATCAGATTTCGATCTGTAGGCGTCGTGTACACTGTATTTGCGTAAAATGCTGTACTGTTGTTGTATCAGGCTCGCATCGATGTGTCCTTCCCGCGGAACGGGTCAAAAGTCGCTTTCTTCTACGAATCAACGAACACGAGGCTTCCAAATCCTATGTAGGATTACGAGAGTAAGTGCGTGTTCTAGCGGATCGTTCCTGGATATCCTCGAACGAATCACAGTGCTGGAGTCGCATATAAAATGGCCGCGTCGTGGCCGCGAACTCCGATTAGCTTTGAAACCATCCTCACTCAACTATCCCATCCTCTACACTCTTATCGACAATGTCACCCAGCTCTCAGAACGGTGTGTCCCGGGTGAACCACCACCCGGACTACTATATAAAAGATGGCAACATAACCTTCCTAGTACGCCACACCTTTTGTATGTCTCGCTCGCGCTGATCGCCATATGTGATCAGGTGGAGGATACACTCTTTCGCGTCCATAGGTACTACTTCGATCGCGAGTCGCAGTATTTTGTCAGGGAGTTTGCAAAGTCTCCCCAGGAGGGAACCTCAGATTCGAGTGCGTTTCGACTCAACAATGTAACTACTGCCGACTTCGCCAAGTTGTTATGGGTTTGGTATTGTCCGTAAGTATTTATTTAAATTATTGTGTCCCGTGGACATCGCGATTAACAACTGTACACAGCATATACAGACGCGAGAGAAAACCAAAAGACCACTGGCTTGTCATACTCGACCTTTCTACAACCTGGGAATTCCCAGAGATGAAAAAGCTCGCCGTCGACGAGCTCCAAATGCTCGACATTGAACCTGTTGAGAAGATTACCACCTACGACAGATACCACATCGACAAATCGCTGCTATTACCTGCATATAAGCTCCTGTGCAAGCGGGCGGGCAGATTGTCCACCGAGGAGGGTGAGCAACTCAAAATGCACACTGTCCTCGGGATACAGGAAGCTCGGGAGCGCGCTATCAGGAGCGCAGCGGAGGGCGGATGTCGAAGCCCGACCTCCGCTGATGCAGATGATGGAGAGCTTGAGAAGATTTTGAATGACATATTCAGTCTCAATGGCCATGTTGCTAACCGACAGGCCTCGCAGTCGCAGGCGAAACCAGACCCAGTACCAATCATTAAGAAACCGGAGGTGAATGGAGCCAATAATGGCAACAAGTCGTCTGCATCGGGTTCTGTAAGTAAAAGTCTTTCGCTTGGGGCGTGTATTGTGTGGCTGATTAAGGACATTCTTCTCAGAATGATAATAAGCAGAAAGACGCCGATAAAAATAAACAGGTATGCCACTCGGCTCACTCAATGTACTCCACTAACGCTGAAGTAATGCAGCCAAAAAAATGAGTGACGAATGGACGGGTGACGAATGTTGCTCGACTGCCCGCTCGACATTCGTGTCAGAGAAGAGAGTGGAGCGCGCGCTAGTTTATGCGTCTATTATGTCATTCATCGAGTCCTTGATCACAGTATAGTCGCATACATCATCCTTTTTGTACGATACCTTTGTCTCCGCATTTGTGTTCAAATATGTACTTTGCATTCACTAGTCGTCAAACGACGAACTCATTATGAGTGACCATATAGGGTGTAACAGTTTTTCCGGATGGGGAACAACGTCACGTAACAGTCACAGTCTGCTTTGCGCCAAGTTTACCTTGGTAGTTTTTTCAGCATGTTACCTCTCGATTTCTGGTCAAACGTTGGCGCGCGAATTCCGGCCTGTCTGGCTATGTAAGGAAGGTCGCTGAACGGACTCCACGGTGGCACGGAATCAAGTTGAATCAGCATCAACAACAACCCTAGCGGGGCCTGTGTGCTCCCGCAGCCGGCGTCCAGCCTCGAATTTTCCAAAACTCGGTAGCTTTTTATCTTCAGAGCGCGACTTCGCTTCTCAGGTCATTGTTGAACGGTGGACTCACTGGGCAACCTGACACGAGAGCATCGGTGTTTCACAAATATACACAACGTTAACCGCAAACCATCCTATTCCAATACAGCCTGGACTTGGATCTTTCAATTACAAAACATTGTGGTATGCCATCTTTCGAGATAAGCCATCACCGATATGATTTCTGACCACATTGTCAGATACAAGTAGTACTTCCCCGAGTTGTTCTGTTTCAATTCACCATTCGTGCCACAGTGTATGATCGCTGAGATCGATGTCGATGTTAGTATTTCTATGTCATATCCTCTCTAGCTCTCTGACCTCATCAACAATTCTTGCCGTACTGACCCTCGATTACGGGAATGAAGCTGGGAGAGGGCTGTCCCAGGTCGCTGTCAAGGGTGCTGAGTACGACTCCCACAGGCTTCAGCCCCATCCAAAGTGAAAAGGACCCGGGTAGGCCTTATCAACTACTCCTACGGGTTAATGGACAACCGAGAGAAGAGTCGATTCATTTGGTTTCATGTCACAGCGGGCGTTGAAGAGTCTGCTGTTGCGTTCACCGTCGCTGAGAAGATAAGAAGTCAGAAAGTGATAGAGCGGACGAATATCGAAAAGCGGCTTGCGGGAACGTTCTTTTTCTCGTGCAAGCACACGATTCTGTGTGGAACAGCTCCAGTCGCCTTTGAACCATGTTTATGCTCGGGTTCACGAAGCCAGTTGTTGTATGCAATCCGGGAGGCCGCTAAGCCCCGTCTTGATCCATAGCCTCGTTCAGCATTTGACCTCACATTCAATACGCCCGTACCTTTTTTCGAGTGGCTAGAGGACGGAAGACTGGACGCACTCGATGTTGAGGCAGGCTGGAGCGATATTGACTGGCACGTTGATATTCATTTCGCTGGTATGAACCATTACGAACATAACTGAAAGGCGCTGCACTTTCCTCATGTACAGACGCAGAATCTGAAAATATGGAGCGGCCCTATCATATGTCGATGAAGTCACAGTGAGCGTCAGATCGACTTCTGATTGTGGCAAGTTACGGCTATGTAAAGAAACGTAGGAGATACTCGGTCCAATCTACTGTATTGTACAAACCAGGAGGCGGTGATCGAAGGCTCAATATAATGAGTACAAATATTATAATGCGCGCAGTAATATATAAGAGAGAACCAAATACTGCATAGGAGTGTCGAATCCACAATATGACGGATCTCGGAGGTGTCATTGTGAGTGCCATATCTTCAAGGTATACGTCAATCATGCGGGAGCCAAGAAAAATCAAAACAAACAGTGGTGCACATGCAATCACAAAGGAAGCCACACGCCATAATATCTGCTCTGCGTGAGTCTGAAACAAAAAATTCCAACCCAGACAATGTATCCCCCCTAGCAACATTCCACTATGACCTCCAACGAAAGCTGTGATCTCCCTCCCTCCCTCCAGCAGCGTCGCACTGTAACCACGGATTAAAATTCCGACCCAGGCTCCGGACGATATAACACTGGAGACAAGTGCAATCCGGTTCAACAGCCTCATACCTACTCTAAAATTGGGATTTAGATTGACAGATGCATAAGATCTCATGAGAGATGCGATCCGCTCCTCTCCGAACAGCCGTGTAGCTGCTCTCATAAAATGAGATCCTATGGAAGATGAGATCCGCTGGTCCACTTCGTACAGCCATGTAGCTGCTCTCAAAAGGGGAGATATCATCTGACATCCGATCCGCTGGCCCTCTGCGATCAGCCATGTAGCTGCTCTCATAACGCGAGATCTCATGAGAGATGTGATCCAGTCCTCTCCTAACAGCCTCATAGCCACTTTCATGGCAAGTCCTCCTACATGATCTCCGATGATTTTGAGAGCTGTGGTGACATCACTAGGCCCACCGTAGCCACCTAGAGACGCGACACGACGTGAACGGGCAGCACTGGGGGACGTTATTGTGCCCATGCCCGCAGAACTCAACCAGGGATAGATGACATAGAACCAATAACGAGAATAGCCTACATGGCTGAATCTTGAATCTGCCTTGCTATAATGTTTGCGAATCAGAGCAATTTCAGGCAAGAATATTGACAATAACATACTCGTATGTTAAGGTTGCGTCGCCCAACGGTAATGCTGTTGCTTTCCAATGAACAATATAAGGACGTCTCACATCTTTTGGCTTCTTCCACCACCAGCAATAGGCAACACATGTCAGAACAACTATAGCCAGGGTGTCGATTTCAAGCAGTGATATTGGAAGGTTCTGGCCACGACGAGCGGCGAGCTGGAGAACAAACCATACAAGTTGAAGAATGGCGACACCTTTGGATAGTATGTCACCCTTGCTTCGGTCTTCGATGTCCGCCTTCTGGATGACAGGCATGTCCACAGATTCCCGAAGAACAAATTGTAGGAGTTCATCGGGTGTAAGAGTAGCTCGCGGCTCGTCATTGACGTATAGGATGAACCCACCCATCCATGCTAAAAACGAATGAGTGATTGTCCAATCTGAGAAGACATCGGTTGCACGTTTGACTACTGAATAGTCCAAGTACTGACCTCTAAACTCTGCACTTCCACTACGCAACGTAGCTTCTACATCTGGACGGTGGTCTTGAGCATCGACAGGTTGTGCACTCAAGGCATCATTGAACCGTTTTTTAATTGCAATAGCGCTGAAAAACTGCCGCGAAGCCCAGGTGATAATGAGTTCTGGAGCGACCAATACCATGGCCATGATGCATATACGACGAAAGACAATATAGCGTGTCTTCTCTTCCATACCCTGAATGTTCGGATGAATGGCGGTCCACGCGCATGCAAATAAGGTTACACCACAACTCCAGATGATGTCCCACAAAGTTCTGGTGTTATTGCTAGGTGGAGAGTCGTTGGCATCAAGTGTATGGATAATGGTGCCATTGAGGTGCAGAAGTGAAGCGCAAACAAATGGGATGTATAAGAGGATAGTGCAGCGTAGGAGGGCCATGAAGTGTAATCCGACTACTATGATCTGTTCACTCTGCTCTCTTTTGAAGCTGTAGCTGCGTGTATTGGCAATTCATGATAAGCCAGGGTCCAGGTACAAAAAGGTGTCGTACCCTTCCCGAGTCGGTTCCTTTGAGTAACTTCAAACAAAGTTTGAACTGTTACCCCTGTGAGGCTGTGACACAGCACTCACAAACGTTTCACAGACCCCAGACTCCATTCAACATCTTCGCTTGAAGCAGCTTGAAGGCCCCATACCATACAAAATTTGAGCAAAAGCAAAATTCGATATCACCTCAACCTGGTTACGGTTCGATTTGCCACTATGTCGGAAGGATTTTCGATGGCCGATCGTTGTTACGCCTGTCAGTCATGCTGTAGTGGTGTATATTACAAGCCAAAGGAATAGCGGCATATCAGTGAGCATCGCTCCGGTCACCCACTCGTCCTAATCATCACCTGAGAGAACTGCTCAAGGATGAAAGACTTACGTGGCTCACGAGCGCTCTGCATGGAGTCTGGACAGCATTCTCATATTCCCACGTGTCCAGCTTGATTCTCTGCGCTCTCATCTTCAGCTGACACGATAACCACTGGCAGCAGAAGCGGAGCCGCCGAGGACATCCACTGGCAAACGAACCATACGAGCTGAAGAATGGCGACGCCTTTGGATAGTATGTCACCCTTGCTTCGGTCTTCAATATCCGACTTCGGGATGACAGGTATGTCCACAGATCCCTGAAGAACAAATTGTAGGAGTTCATCAGGTGTAAGAGTTGCTTGCGGCTGGCCATCATCGTAGAGGATGAATCTGCCTATTTACGTGAAGAATCCATGAGTAGTTGTCCAATCTGCGGAAACATTGGTTGCATGTTCAGTACCGAATAGTCTGAGCACTGACCTCTAAACTCTGCAGGTCTGGGAGCGCCTGAACTTCCACTCGATTCCGGACATTCCTTACGCAACGTAGCTTCTACATCTAGATGATGGTCGCGGGCTTCAGCAGGTTGTGCACTCGATATCGGTGCCATTGAGACACAGGAGTGAAGCACAAACAAACGGAATGTATGAGAGGACAGCGCAGCGAAGGAGGGCCATGAAGTGTAATCCGACTACTATGATCTGTTCACTCTGCTCTCTTTCGAAGCTGTAGCTGCGTGTATTGGCAATTCATGATAACTTGAAGCTGGGACTTAAGGTGTCGGAGAAATAACGAAATGTGGCAGAACAAATCAAGTTCTTTGAAACAAACTTCAATGCAAGTGATCGTACCTTAAGTCCAACTCGAACTTTCCGCAGCCGCGGTGCATCAAACGTAATGATGAGACCTCAGAAACCTTGGTATTCACTGCGAGAGGTACTGCCATGTTATGTCGAGCAAGCCTTATTGTGGCGGATATCGGCGATAGTGTGGCCTAAAACGGAAAGAAAGAAAAAGTATATTGCATCGCGGCACAAAAAAAATACTCCAAGTGTACTGCTTTCCTGTCGGTATCAACTACCTCGGATTCCACTCGCGAGGAGTAGGCCAGAAGTCAGAACAGCGTATCTGCACAAGTCAATTCATTATGACTTGATCTTGGCTTTCGGGTAACCGGCCCTCATCAGCACGAACTGGGGTCACTTATGATCTTCAAATACGGCACCGTGAAAGATGGAACGCCCGTCAGTCATGTTCGTAATCCGCGCTCTCATCTTCAGCTGACACGATGACCACAGCAGAAGCGAAGGCGCAGAGAACGTGGAGGTTCATAAGGCAGCAAATGAAATCCCCGGTGCATGTTAGAGAGATAATCCGCGAGGTCATCCATGTGGCGAACCGTGTGCAATAAATCGTTGAGGGAAATTCAGAGACGCTCCGATCCAGCATGAGCAAGGGCGAGAGCAGGTCAGAAGTCAATCAAGTGCGTCTATCATACAGTCCTGACCTTGACAGAAACCAGCTTGGAACTGCTGTGTAAGCAGGTCTTTCGGGCGTTGCCGGTGGTACTGTACCGTTTTCAGGTTTTCAATAAGAGTTCTTTCCATCTGACCAGCACGCTCAGCGACTTGACTCGTACTTTCACGCCCGAGCTCCTTGTGTATACCATAACGCAAAAAGTAATGGCGGTTTGTTAAACCAAGGAGCTTACCACTTGGATGATAAGCTACAGCTTCGACGATTCAGCTTAAACTCTCATGCAATGCTCTTGATGGTTATCTTCAGAGTGCCAGTGATGCAGATCCTCTTTGCTGGTCTGCTTCTCCATGTGTTATATCTTTACTGCCTACCGGCGGCAGCGAGTATGCAAAGGGGTTCTGTTGAATATGGAACAGAATACACATGGTGCACACTCGCTACACGTCTGACTCGCCTCTTACAACATTCATATCGTAAATTGTCTGGTGGAGTGATCAGCTCGTCTCTTCTAGGTAACAGTTCTAGCTCTCCGCAGCAATTAATTGGATCAGGCTGCACATGACCACCTCGTGTTCAGGCCGTCTTATCTTTGATTCATCAGACTTCGATTTATAGGCACCTGTGTGCACTGGATTCGTGTAAAATGCTGGCGATCGTTGTATCAGGCTCCATCGAGCTACATCGGCGATTCTGGCTGCGGAACGGTTCACAATTAGCCCATTCTTCCCAAGTACGCTTGCCCGAATAACGAACACGAGGCTTCTAAACCTTGTAAGATCACGGGAGTCAGCGCATGTTCCAGCGGATCGTCCCGAGTTATCTTCAAACGAATCACACTGGTGGCTATTGTGACCTTCAAGCGCTAGATACGCACATAAAATGCCCGTGTCGTTTCCGCGAACTCCGACCAGCTTTGAAACTATCATCACCCACAAATCATCATCTGCTTTTTATCGACCATGGCATCAAACAGCTCTCGAAATGGTGTGTTACGAGTACACCACCACCCAGAGTACTATCTCGAAGACGGTAATGTCACCTTCCATGTACGCCACACTTTTGTATATCCCGCTCGCGCTGATCGCCACGTACGAGTAGGTCGAAAATCTCTTTCGTGTCCACAAGCACTTCTTTGAGTGCGAGTCGCAATTTTTTGTCAAGGAGTTTGAAAAAGCTCCCCAGGAGGGAACTTCAGATTCCACTGCATTTCGAATCGATCGGGTAAGCACCGCCGACTTTGCGAAGCTACTATGGGTCTGGTACGATCCGTAAGTATTCGTTTAAATTATTGTGTTCTACAGTCATCATACTTAATCACTGGACATAGCTCGTACAGACGCGAAAGCAAACCGAAAGAACACTGGCTCACCATACTCGAGCTCTCCACGATCTGGCAATTCCCAGAGATGAAGAAACTCGCCGTCGACGAGCTCCAAAAGCTCGATATTGAACCCATTGAAAAATCACCACGTACGAGAAATACCACATCCATAAATCGCTGCTATTGCCTGCATACATGCTCCTGTGCAAGCGGGCGAGCCGAATGTCCGCCGAGGAGGGTGAGCAGCTCAAGATGCCCACTGTCCTTGGGATACATGAAGCTCGCGAGCGTGCAGCCAGGAGCGCAGCGGAGAGGGGGTGTCGTAGCCCAACCTCCGCTGATGCAGACGATGAGGAGCTGGAGAAGATTTTGAATGACGTGTTCAGTCTGAACGCCACTAACCGACAGGGCGCACAGCCGCAGGGGAAACCAAATCCAGTGCCTATCATTAAGAAGCCGGAAGCGAATGGAGCCGCTAATGGCAGTAGGTCGTCTGCTTCAGGTTCGGTCAGTAAAGTCTTCTGTATGAGATCGTGTAATGTGTAGCTGATTGAAAACACTCTGTTCAGGATGATGATAAGCAGAAGGAAGCCGACAAAAATAAAGGCACAGTATGTTACCCGACTTACTAAACATACTTCACTGATGCTCGGGGCATATAGGAAAAGGGAAAGCAAAGATGAGTGAGGAACCAACGGAAGATGGGGGTTGCTCAACTGAGGAACCAACGGAAGGTGTAGGTTCTGATGAACCGATGGAAGGTGGAGGTCGCTCAAGTGAACTCTCGATTTCTGTGATAGAGCCGAGCGGAGCGCACTCGGGTTGATGTGTACCTTCCATTCATGACAGTAATAATCGCGTATACGTATATCGTCCTCCTTGTCTGATATCAAGTCACTGTATTCTTGACAATTCATGTGTTCCGCAATACACCATCGAACAACCATCTGAGTCGAAGCACCAGCAGCCAAAGAGAGAGAGAGAGAGAGAACTTCTATATTTATATACCGCAACAAACAAAGTAAACTGTTAAGACGCGGTGCCCTGTTGGGGGCTGTACTGGGGAGTATTGTAACAGGGTAGGGGGTGTAAGTATAGTACGAATAGCCAAGCGGTCCACGTTTGAAAAGTTCCGGTGCGCGTATTAGTTTGTTCGGCGTCCAGGCTGATTATAACATCTTCTCCTCGTTCCATGTTCTCCTCGTCTCCTCCCTCCTTCGTCTCCTCCTTTTCCGCCCTCATCAGGCATCTATCCCTCTCCTTTCTTCCCAGTCCTCTTCTCGTTCCGGTGTGACCTTTTTGAATGCGCTGGACTCTTCAATAAACTTCACTAGGGCCTTGATGTCCTTTTCCGTACCCAGGACTTCGTTGAGTATGATGTTGCGGGATACCTCAACCAGCAGCCAAAGAATTCGACGTTCAGTTGACACTCGCTTAACATAGACGATGCTAATCAACCTGAATCGTACACCCACCACAAAGCAGCTGTATGGTAGTACGCGCTGAGCTGAAGTCTCAGAGTATGCTGCAGACTAGCAGCGAGTCGAAGCTAGGAGCCGGGGGCGTACATCGCACGGGCGTTAGCAAAAGGCATGGCCAACCCGGTGTAGCTTGGATGCCTCACCAAGTAGGGTCCACTTGTTGTGAGCTTGCCCGTCTCGAATATATTACTCTTACGTGAAGAAGTGACTCAACGTTCTGTAGCACTGCCAACGAATGTAACCCGACATCACAAACACCGAGCTTCCTAGAGCTTATGTCGTGGTGAGTTTGCTTGCGT